AGTGGCAGTAATCCCTTGCTCTTTGCACAACATTGCGGTAAATACAAAAAACATAGACAATATCAAGTATTTCCACCCTGTGAATAAAAAACACAAGAATAGATGCCTAACTTTTTCATAATAATTCCTCTGTTGAAAATTTCCAGGTGGATCCCCACAATGGAAATCCAATGGAACTAATATGAATCCTTATAGAATAATAAAAATCGATATAGAAATTCATATGGTTTGTGGAAATCTTTGTAGGAATCCATTCAGTTTGTGAAAATTCATATAAAAATCTACTTGGATTTCTATCAGAACTTTTGGCAAATCTCCAGGGACGATCGTAGGATTCTGTATGAATTTCCTATATATGTCTCCACTTGGTTTTTTCAACAGAGTCGTACTCGTATTAAAATTTTTACCTGTAGATCTTTTGCTTCTGCAACATTTAGTGTATGTGATTAAAGCTGCCAGGTAAAACAAAGAGGACAACGTTTCTGCCCTACCAACTACACCTGTGACCTAAGAATATAATTACGGCAATTGTAGTAACGTTAACATGCCTCAATTACGAATATATATTAGTATGTAATTTAAATATCTTTCTAAATATTTTTTTTTAATTGTTACATACTGCTTCTGTATGTATAGGATGTACAGCAAAGAATAATGATGACACGAAACTTGCTGCATCTGGTAGAAACATCAAACAGATTCTGCAACAGAGCAATTTTCGCTTTTTAACGCAATTTTTGAACTTTATACATTAGACAAATAATTTTCTATACATTTTTCTTCCCATGATTTTTATATTACGAGACAAAGCGCAAAACGGATATAAACGCACCTGAAGTATAATAGGCATACTCCAACATGTAGAATAACATTTAGCAGGTGATATCCCATAGGATCCAGCTGGTGAATCAGGTAATTCCATCGGAATGTGAGTACGCAAAGAGGTCTATAAGATTTGTGCGATTGTTCCTATTAAAAACATAAAAGAAAGAAATAATGAAAAGGCCAGTCAATCAATTTGTAGTAGAAAAGATAAAAAATAGCAACTATTCCCTGTAAATCTCTTAAATAATATTAGAAAGAGAAGTGATATGCGTGAGCAATTTGAAAAATTCGCGGCCTACCATACAAAGGTTAATATCGCGTTTCTATTTTTTTTTTTATCGTGGCGCCACATTCGCCTTATGAACAGCTGTGAAGTATCAAGTCGATTTGCCGAATTGTTAGTTAGAAATAGCTGTTTAAACAAAGACAGTCAGTACATTGTTGAAAATTGAACATCGTGCAATGATGAAATATTTCGTTAAAAAGGTGAAAAAAGAGAGTATTGTAACCAAGTTGGCAAGTATTTAAATCTTATTAGATAAAGTGATACTCAAAATTGGAAAAAATAAGGAGTATCTTGATCGCACTTTTTGTCCCGCGATGGGATAAAATCATTGGAGTACCGCTGGACCAAGTGTATCGAATTACAGGGAGATTATATTGAAAGATAAAAATGATCCCAGGAAGAAAAGGTCAGTTTTTTATTATCAGGCTGCGAACTTTTCAAAATTGCTCACATATTTAATATTTCCACTCTCTCTCTTTCTCTTTCTTTAAAACAAATATATGTGTGCGTGTGTGTTTGTGAAATTTCGTGTATTTAAAATTTCCAAATATAATAATAATCATGATATATTATAATTGAGTTTTTATTAACAATTAATTTATTTTTACTAACAATATACCGGGTTTAAAAACGTTTCGTAATGGACCGGCATTTTTACGCGACTTTCAATTCACACCGCGTATACAGAAAATAGTATACGATGTGGAGCTTGATAAATGTGCTCCAAACCTGGGTTTTTATCAACAATTAATTTATTTTTACTAACAATATACCGGGTTTTAAAAACGTTTCGTGAGGGACCGACATTTTTATGCGACTTTCAATTCACGCCGCGTATACCGAAAACAGTACACGATGTGGAGCTTGATAAACGTGCTCCAAACATGATAACAGGGAGTACGAATGGATAATAAGATAAATTATTTGACCGTACTTTGTCGCTTAATGGAAAAAAATATTATTTGACGTGGAGATCGAGTTCAACGCGCATTGAAAACGATACACGTGGCACGAGACGTGTTAAGATGAAAAATTACGTTATAAATAGTCAAATTGTTACAGATTCATTTACAGCAATTTGCCATTGATTTATATTGTAACTGATTTATATTGATTGTATTCAATTGATTTATATTGATTACAAGTGGTATTTCTAATTAAATTAGATAAATGTGAATTAATCAATACATTCGACAAAAACTGCTCTCTCGAATATTCAAAACGAACATTCGCGGGTATTCAATTACCATTCAATTATAAAGTCATAATAATTTCAAGGCAACGTGTTCACAGACGAGTCCTTTCCTCGTAGTTATACTTTCGTGCATATTCTGCATTTAGAAGAAAATCGATATAACCTCGATCTTTGGAAGAGAGTGATAAAAAAAGATAGAGAATGTATAACGTAAAATGAATAGAGATTTAAAAACTTCAAATCGATGCGGCGCGGTGCATCGCTAGAATGCGCTCTGAATAAAATAGATGCAGTTTGGTCGGCTTTTTACTGAAATTGACGTAGTTTCAACGATATCAATTGTTAATGCTGCAACTTTGAGAAAAAATCTCAACTTGTATTTTTGTCTGACAAAAATAAACGATAGTATTATTCTTGCACATTTGCAGCAACGATATATTTGAAATTCTCGAAATTATACGCGCGACTTCGATTAAAAACTGAAGGGGATTCCGGCGATATTAACGTCGCTCATTGCGTTTGCATGCTCGACGGTAAACAGAAAAAAGTGATTCACACGTGCAGATATGAATGCCAATGTAATCGATGAAATCCCAGCGATACCGATCATAAATAAATACGAACAAACCAGAACTTGCCAAATTTATGTGTTTCAATCATCGAGAGGATAAACAAGGATGATTTTCCACGTTAACAACACACATATCTGAATTCTGCGAGTCGATGCTGGCATTGCGCCCCCGAGGAAGAAATCGATAGAATCACGATATCAATAAAATTGATTATCGCCGATACGAAGAAGCGAAGTATCGTACATCATTGACGTCGCGTTCCCGGCCGGTTCGCGTCGGCTTGGCACGGAAACTAAACAGAAGTCATTCTAGCGTCATAATCGACCCCGCATGGAGATCCGCCGAGATCGTTGTTGCCGATCTCAATTCCCGCTGCGTGGGACGACGTCGCGCGCGCACGACGACGACCGATGGGGACAGAACGAGGGATCGGATCGGGATGAAATGGACAGGACACGCTCGCGGATCAATACGCAGGGGGCCGTCTATAGGGGGAAGGGAACGGGAGGGGAGGATCTCGAACGCGCGTCCTCCGACAGCGGCAGCCGACGCGATGCCTCCTCTCTCTCTCTCTCTCTCTCCCCATTATTTACGGCTCTCTTCTACGCACCTTATGCATCGGGGTGCCCCAGAAGTCGTTGTAGAAGACATTCTTGAGGGGCGTGTGGGGCCTCAGGTCGCGGTTATCCTTGATCGCCGAGATGTCATCGAAGACGAAGCCGCAGCCGAAGCTGTTGAGGTACACGGCGAGCGCGGTTACCGCCACGATCGCCGCGAGTGCTCCCCGCGCAGGCACTCCCATCACAAATAACACATCGATCGGCCGGCCGTCTTTCGTTTCTTTCGCGCGGTCTCGCCGACCGCCTTCGTGAACGGAAGGAAGAACGTTCTACTGTATTCTCTCTCAGTGCTTGCTCTCTCTCTCTCCTTCCCTCTCTTTTTCTTTCTCCCGCCTTCGTCCTCCCACTTCCCCTCGTTCTCTCACCCTCTCTCTCTCACTCTTTCTCTCCCTCTCTCTCACTCTCCTTACGATCTTGATATCGTAACGCGGTGTTCTTAACTGTAAGAACCCCACGAGGGACGCACGAATGTCATTTCCACGCACGTCGACGTAGCCGCGTCCGCTTTCAGACACATCACAATTGATGTCGATTCGCCGCGGCGAGCAGGCACCAGCGCGAATGCCGGCGAGTCGAAGCGCGTCGCGTCGTCGCCGACATGGTCACCGGTGGAGTGACGGATTCAGGAGGACAAGTGAGATTCTTTCTCTTTCTCTCTCTCTCTCGGCTCGTTCGCGCCTTCTCACCGCGCGCGATCGAACGCGAGACGCCAACGGCCAACGTCGGGACGGGGAAACCCGTCCGGTGAAGTGAGAGAGAGAGAGCACGATCAACGCGTACGCACGCACCGCACACCGCGATCGAGCTGTCAAACGGCGGAGTCGCGTTGCGCACACGTAGCAATCACGTAGCGACGACAGCGACACCGCCGGCGTCGTCGTCGTCCCCTCGCGTGTGCGCCGCGCGAGCGAGCGACGTGGACGGCGCGAAGTATACACTCGAAAATATACCGGAACATTGTATTCAGTTTTTAATCATCAAATAAGCACTTTATTAACGAACGCGCCTCGCCATCTCCTCCTGCTCTACCGCGCTGTATCGGGCAACCCCACATTTTCCGCGACATTCCGGCGCCGCAATAAATTGTAAGTCATGTAGCTTTACTTTTTAATTTTATCTGAAAAGAAAAAGAAATATGTATATAGACTGTGATTGGTAAATTTCTTAAGACTCAAAGCCCGTAACAGACTACGGATTAGGAATTGAGATTGAATTGAACTTGGCCAATCGGTACAAATTTAACTGAACTCAAGTTTAGTGAAATTTAGTGAACTTCGCACTGATTGGTCAATTTTCAATTCATTCTCAATCTCCAATTCGTAGTCTGATACAGGCTTAAGGCTTAAAATACCTATTGTAGACCGATACTCATGTGGTTTGTTCTTTATAGCTGCACTGCTGGACCGGTGCGATAAGTTGAAGCGAGACAAATATATGTTTTCTCACTTCAACTTACTGCACCAGTTCCATCAGTACATCTATAAAGAACAGACCAACGAATAGAGCGGACGGCAGTGTCGAGTATAAATATACCATCTCGTCGTCAAGTTTCATATTGGTAATTTATTTACCCCGGTAGTGCGGTTGCCTCGTCGACTTCGATTAACTATATATTTTTTTTCGCGACAAGTGTTTTCACGTGCGGTCGTGAGCTGCGTGAGTGCGATAGTATGCGCAATTCTGTATTTTACAGTGCAACTTTGCTAAACGTCCCGATCCAGGATTCATGACTTTGGAGATGTCTCGTTCAAAATCGGCACGAGCGTAAAAGGATTGGTGCGTTCTTCTTTTTTCTCTCTTTGTTAGAGAAGTGACGAACAGTGCGCTCGGCGATCATTCGACTTTTCTGCTTCTCGAGACGAGGTTTCTACCGCTCAAAGAACACTTCTGTCAAGCTCAAGTTAATTTAATGCGTAAGTATCAACATTTTATCTTCGCACGATTCTTTCTTACAAGCACTTTCTCTTGTCGGGTGTACGGCCAGTTTTTAGTTGGGACTTTTGCAGATTTCATATTGTAAATAACTACTGTACATATCAGTAATCATTAATCTTTATAATCGGTCGATATATTGAATCCATATTGATTTGAATATATTGAATATATATTGATTTGTCAGTGACAGGTGATTCGAGCATTCGCTATGCCACGTAGGAAACATCCAAGACATCGTCCCATAGGGGAGGATACTAGAATCGCGGTGAACTTAACTCTAAAGAAACTTCTGGACACTCCAGATCAAAAGGAATTAGAGTTTCCTTCTTCGTACACAGCGGAGGAGAGAGCATATATTCATGAATTGGCCAGAGGTCTTGGTTTAAAATCAAAAAGCCGAGGGTAGGACTGAATGAAGATATATCTTTTTCCATCCAACGAACAGAATGCCAATGAAATTTTGTCTCGCAGGAAGGGTATGAATCGATTTCTGACTGTGTACAAAAGAGAAGGTTCGACGATAGTTCAAGCTGACGCTGTGATAAAATTACAAAATGCTTCGAAGCAGAGCATATACAATTTGTCACATACTTTTCCATTGAACCAAAAGGAATATCAAGATTTACTTCCTCCAATTGAAAGGGAACGTCCTCTCAGTACCGATGGTAAGCAGGTATCTTAGTTACAAGTTATTTGATTACTTATATCTGATTATTTGTATAAATTCTAAAGTAATAGCGGTTTGCCATACTGGATCCACTTGATTGGCACGATTGTTGTCTCTGTTCAGCGCTGCCATTGTCGTTTTTTTCTGTCTCTTTTTCGATATTTTGTTAAGAAATTCACTGTCATCCAAAATAAGTCACTATAGTCACTTTTTTTCCTGAGTTACCATAAAATATAAATGTACTATACATACTTTTTTGCCACTTCTCTTAATAAAACTGTCCTGAAAGCGTATTTATACCGTTCATGCTGTTGGCCTTCCCTTGTTATGAGCTTTCAAACTATATTATGAAAAGAACTCGCTGTATGTTAAATTATCCAAAAGTACACCTGAGAAGGTAAGAATAAGTATTATTTTCTTGCTTAAATGGTAAGAATAAGTTTCTTGCTTAAATGGCCTTAGTTACTTTCAGAATTTGATAAAGAATGTCATTTTTGACCACTATTTCGATGTCTAAATTTATCACCTTTTCTACCAAGAAGCGCTATTTCACGTTTTTTTATTCCAGCGACTGGATAACAGTGCTGTCTCTATTGTAAATGTTACCACTCTAAATGTTACAATTGAATTAAACTCCAAGAACACTGTTGTTGCAGTAAATACAAATACCAAAGCGATGGGCAGATTGAACAGCAGCATACCCCAAGTACCTCAGTTGAAGACCAATTTCGATGTGCTGCACTTCCGCAAATCCCTGCCGATTTTTAACTCCAGGGAAGAGATACTCGCTGCACTGAACAACTATCAAGTGGTCATAATCGCCGGTGAGACCGGATGTGGAAAGACCACTCAGGTGCCGCAATATATCCTGGAGCATTGTCAGCAGAAGCATCAAGCTTGCAGGATCATTTGCACGCAACCCAGACGCCTGTCGGCGGTGTCCGTGGCCGAGAGAGTAGCGTTTGAGAGGGACGAGAAGATCGGCCAGACATTCGGATACCAGATAAGACTGGAGAGCCGAGTAGCGCCGAAAACCCTCCTGACGTATTGCACGAACGGAGTGTTGCTTCGTACTCTAATGGGCGGCGATTCCGCCTTGTCCACGCTCACGCACATTATCGTCGACGAGGTGCACGAACGCGACAGATTTTGCGACTTCCTTATGATAGCTTTGAAGGATGCGCTGGTGAAATATCGTTCCCTCAAACTGATACTCATGAGCGCCACGATGGACACCAGTATCTTCGTGAAGTACTTCAATAAGTGCACCGTGATCAACGTGCCCGGTCGCTCGTACGACGTAGACGTATACTTCCTGGAGGACATTTTGAAGATGACGAATTACATGACGAAGGAAATGCTGGCGATGAAGAAGGAGTTCTTCAAGCTGAAGGATCAGCGGAAGGTTCTGGAATCTTGGACGCAGTACAAGCCCCAACATTCCAGTAGAAACGCCACGAAGGAGAAGTGTCTACTGCCGGCGCCGATTCTGGCCCAACAGAGTGATCCTATACCGGAGAGAGTCAAGCTGGAGCCTTGGCTGATGGAAGAAATGGACAAGAGTGTTTCCGACGCGTGGTTGCACGGCGGGGAGGATAATTTTGCGCAGCTTTTGCACTTCATACTGTCGGAAAATGTCTCGGTGGACTATCAGCACTCGAAGACTTCGGTGACGCCACTGATGGTCGCCGCCGGTAGAGGCTGCATCAACACCACCGAGCAGCTTTTAAATCTAGGCGCGAATCTCAATCTAAGGGCCGGCAACGAATGGACCGCGTTGGACTGGGCGAAGAAGATGAATCAGACCGAGTGCGCCGAGCTGATCGAGGCTTATATGAAAACCTACGACTGCGTGGTGTCGAATGACGAGTTGGTCCGCGTTGCGGAGACGTCGCTCGCCGAAGAGGACAAGATACTGCTCGACATATATCATCATACGTTCAACGACGACAATATCGATTACAATCTACTGTTGGAATTAATCTTCCACGTTCACTTGAAGATGCAACCCGGCTCTATCTTGATATTCTTACCGGGGTATGACGACATCGTCATAATGAGGGAGAAGATAAATGCAGAGGAGAAGAAGATGAGTCAAAACTCACGTTACAATCTATACGTGCTTCACTCGAACATGCAGACCTGCGACCAGAAGAAGGTGTTCAAGTCCAGTCCGCACGGCACCCGGAAGATCATCCTTTCCACGAATATAGCGGAGACCAGCATCACGATCGACGACGTTGTTTACGTCATCGACTCGGGGAAGGTCAAGGAGAAGTCTTTCGATGCTATATCGGGCGTGTGCACGTTGACCTCGAACTGGATATCTCAGGCTTGCGCGAAGCAACGTAAGGGCAGAGCGGGTAGATGCAAGAGGGGAATCTGTTACCGTATGTTCTCGTCAGTGCGACACAACAGTATGCAGCCTTATCAGACGCCCGAGATCCTACGGTTACCGCTGCAAGAGCTGTGCTTGTACACGAAGTACCTGACGCCTGGCAACACGCCCATAGCCGAGTTCCTGGACAGAGCTTTGGAGCCACCGTCCAACATAGTGACCAGAAACGCGGTTCAACTATTGAAGACGATCGACGCGCTGGATCCTTGGGAGGACTTGACCGAAATGGGAAGTCATTTGTTGGACCTGCCGGTCGAGCCGAGGCTCGGGAAAATGCTCTTGTACGCAGTGGTCCTGAAATGCCTGGATCCCATTTTAACCATCGTCTGCAGTCTGGCGTACAAGTAGGTGTACACTCGGATATACACATAACGCGCGACTTATTCGTCACCATATTGCAGGGACCCTTTCATACTGCCGTCGCAGCCGTCGCAGAAGAGAGCCTTGACCGCGGCGCGAAAGAAATTCGCCACCGGGACGTATTCGGATCACATGGTGGTGTTGCGAGCGTTCCAAGGTTGGCAGAACGCCCGTGCGTCCGGCAAAGAGCGTGCCTTTTGCGAGAAGAATTTCATTTCCGCCCCTGTGATGGAAATGGTAGTCGGAATGCGTACGCAACTTCTCGGCCAGCTGCGCGCCTCCGGCTTCGTCCGAGCGAGGAGTCCCAGCGACATTCGGGACTTGAATTCCAACTCGGAAAATTGGGCGGTCGTGAAAGCGGCGCTGACCGCTGGATTATATCCCAACTTGATCCGAGTCGATCGTGATCATTTGCAGCTACGAACGCAGTACGTTATTTCGATCGTATCTCGCTGATTGAATGATCCATAAACATTGCTTACGCTTTTGCACACAGAAAAGAGGTCAAGGTATTCTTCCATCCCTCTTCGACGTTGAGGGATTTCCCCAAGTCTCCGAGAATGACGTCCGCTCAAACACACGCGGCTAACGTGCAGGCCTTACCGTGCGATTGGCTGCTCTATGAAGAGATGAGCCGTACGGGGCGTTTTTGCCATGTGAAATTCGTTACGCTTGTAAATCCACTAACGGTAGCGCTCTTTAGCGGACCGGCTAGACTACCAATGGACGTACTTCATGAAGCCGAAGGTAAGCGACGCTCTTTCAATCAAACATTGTTCTCGGCGTTGCAACAGCTCGGCTCATCTTACTTATCCTTTTTCTCAACAAAATTGCTACACGGGCGATACGTTTCATATTGCGAGCAACAGTCATTTTCTACAGAATCTAATCAATTTGACACGTACCACATGCATTTTCGAATAATTAACCTACCGTTTCATATTTTAATCCTAATACTATCCGACACATAAGAGCTGATATTTTGCATCTAACAATATACATACGAGAAAAATTGTTAAATCTTACCTTGCGGTTATATCGCACTTTCGTAAAACGTATCTAATATTCGTTTGCAAGCTTCCGCTGCAACGTTACTTTAACCAGCCAGCGTTCTCGAGTGACCTAAACGAAATCTAATATTGCTAATGAGACGAATAGTTTCAAGCAATGGTTTTAGCACAAATGCGAGTTCCATGTTACAATCCCGTTCCATATTTACCATCCTTTCCCTTATAACGCTTATTCGCACGATAAGACGTGCATTTACATGCATTTACAGCCGTGTGGGAGAGCGATTCGGACTCGGAGGTGGACGAGTCGCACGAAGGGACTATTTTCAAGCTTGATGACTGGGTAGTCTTTAAACTCGATCCTGAGACGGCCGATCTGTTCTTACAATTGCGACAGAAGTGGAATGCTCTGTTCCTCAGGCGTATGAAGGCTCCAAACAAAGCTATGTCGGCGTTAGACGAGAAGGTCATCAATACCTTGGTGACTGTGCTTACGAACGAGGAGCAAGCCTGTGGCCTCCAGCAGCCTACTGGCATCGGCCAACGGCCACGTCCATTAATTGTCGACTATTATCCTGCGAATGTCAGGAGAGACGATTATCCAGAGGTAGCGCTTGTTCAGTATTATTAACATACGTCGATTGATCGGACGAATTTTAGACGGTGATGTAATATCTTTTCAGAGATACTTTTAAAAAGTTGGAAGAGGAATTATCGTATGTCACGTACGATCTGCCAAGCGCGCTACCACGACACGACACTAATTTCAACGGCTAACCGCTGTATGTAAATGTTATTCTGTATTTCTAAACAACTTTTGTTATTGATAGCAAATATATAATAAACATACGATGTGTACGTGTACGTATTGAGTGTAGGACTGCTTCATGAATATTGCATTCTGATTTTCAGTATTAAAAAAGACTGTGTTACAATAATAGCTTCACAAGTAATACTCATTAATATTCTAGGTGAAGTATATTAAAATAGGGACAGTTATTTATTTGTTTACTACGAAAATTACTTTTTCACTTATTGGGATGTGATATTTATTATTGTTTTTAGTGACTGGAGAATAGAAATAATTATACATATGTGTAATATTTATTTTATTTTGCCTCAGCTTACATGCCAAGAACTCAGATAACATTAAGACGTCCTAAAAAATGTTGTAAAGAGGTCTGTTAGACAATAAGACGTTCAAAGAACGTCTTTGAGGCGTCTTTTAGACATACGTGTTGCATAGAAGAGAATTTGGTTAATTTTTTTCCTTAACCAAACGCATCCATTCACATCTTGGCTATTTGAAATCTGATACGTAAGTATCACAACAAAATAGCTTATCTCATTATTTCTATTTTATCTTTCACAGCCTTTTATATCTAATAATTTATCCTTATCTACTCTCAACTATTTCCTACTTAATTTTTGCATTAAACCTAAACAGTTTACACTTACTCTTTACATTTCTATTTCTATTTTCCACTTATTTTTCTTTTGCTATATCCTTAGATTTATCTGTTATCTGAATAATTAAATATTCAAATAATGTTAGTAGATCCGAATGAACCTTGAAGTATTAGATATTAAGTAGATGTAACTTACGTTTCGCATATAATACACATGCTATATTAAATACTAAATAGTTAATATAAGGTATTATTAACTATTATATGTATATGACAGCTATATATCTGCATACACACATTGTTATGTGTATGAAGATAATTTGTTTGAAAAATACACTAAATCAGTGATTTGTTATTCATTTGTATCATATGTATGAGCGAATTTACATGAAATTACTGGCGGCAATTTGCTTATTTGTTTTTATATTTATTTTTATCAATTAATTTCGGCTCATGTGTGATGTTTTCGAAACATTAGTAGATCTTAGTATTCTGGAAAGGGTTCTTCGTGAAATCTGCGGAACACTAATAAGACTTGGTTTTAATTTTAAGTTGCAAGTTTGATAACCATATTACACACGACGTTTTATTTCCTGAAAATATTACAAAATAAACATAATAGCACGATACAATTAGACATACAATACAGACATATTACTAATGGACTTTATACGAATTCATACTGTGTGAGTAACATAAAGGAAATGATATGATAAAATATAGCGGAGAGAAAAGGGATATATAATTAAAGTAATTTGTCTGCGCGTTTTTGTAACACACGTCTGAATTCGCAAGCGATTATCCCATTGGACTTTGATTCCTGTAAAATTAATACCACACATCAGAATACGCTAAGCAATACATGTAAGCATAAGTGTCATGTAAAATTAATGCTGTCATAAATAAGACGAACTCCGTCCGAGACATCGATGTAATAGCATTGTAGTAGCATGACCTACTTCTAGGTAATAACCGTTGTTCGGTCATGTTATCGAAGATTAAAAGTTCGTCGGATCTATCATTGTATCGCAATAATTGAAAATAAAAATATTTTGTTTGCTATTTAGTCATATTATTTGAGAAATATTCTCGACTTGTCAAATTTTCGAGAGGTATCTAAGTCGCCGCGAACGTATTTGGCTAAATCTTGCTGCGAATTTAGGTCTGAATCCGGATTCCGAATTCAACGCTTCAATCCCTAGATAAGTGGAATCTGTTTATAACGACGGACGTTCCGTTGAATAATACGCGACATTGGAGTTCTCTTATTATAGTTCACATTAACGCCAGACTGCTAGGCTGTACGATGCTTTTTAATGGCTTTTTAATCGCGAAAAGTTATGAAACGTTGCTCGTAATTGTAAGCAGTACACCGTAATATCGTATAATGCTTCTGTTAATTAAACGCAAATTATGGCTGGCGCGTTCATAGTAAGTTAACATCGCTTCGGAGGTAAATTAATTACATCAGAACCGCCGGTTGGATTATACGAATAATCACGACCACCATGTGTGACAGCTAACCGCATAAACAAATTAGGGCGAAATTATAGATGTTACCTAACACGTGTGGTTTAATTATTCACTGTAGCTTCTTCCTTGCCGTCCAATTAATATTTATGATAGAAAAGTTTTTAATGAATACCACATTATCAGGAGGAGTCGATCGTCCTTATTTTCCTCTCACCGGCTTGATTATCTAGGTTGCAAATGTATTTATTATGTTTTATAATTTTAAGACAAGAGTCAAAGCTAGAGACAAAAGTCAAGTACAAGGGTATCGCCGTGATACACTTTAACAACTGCTATCTTTATACTATTTTTATTAATGAAGCAGGATTATTTTCCTTAATGAAATCGAAAATGACTGTAGCAGAAATTTTTCAAAATTGGGCTTACGAAGAAGTTTTATCTTCTATACGAAAACATTTATATTTCTTCTTAGTTTATTAGAAAATTTATCCATTTCACGATTATTTTTAATTCACGCTAAAGAAGAAAATTCGCGATTCTTTGGAAATTGATCGTGAATCTTCTCCTCTAGCATAAGTTCGTAAAAAGAATAAATTTTCTATTTTGAAAACATTTGGAATATTCATTTTTCCGCTCTAGGGAGAAGTTTGCACGATTGGTGCTCTGATGATGGTAGCTCGGAGATTTCGGAACTAATAAAAATAACTAGACTAATTATAAGTGACGGTTCACAATAGATATTTTAAGCCTTAAAATACCTATTATGGACCGACACTAATGGGCCTAGAAAAGTAAACCTCACATTTTATACATATCTTTCTTATTGTTTCATTCTTATATATTTTTCTTAATATCCACTAATATAATTTTATTAACTTATAAATAAACTGTAATTAAAATTGCTCCAGTATTTGCCAGTTTCTGTATTTACTCTACTGAAAGCAACGTTTAGTGTAGATCTTTTGCACCAGTGTAGAAAATTCAATTGGAAGGTACATCATTACGCACACGTGTCACATGTCGACGATAACATTGAAGGACGTAAATTCAGTTCCACGTGATTTCACAATGTCGACAATCTTAATCACGCTACTTTGTGAGATTCTCCGGTGAATGATGGTGCGTAAAATAGTCAGGTTTAATATAGCGATTTAATATAATTATCAGCGTGTTTAATATATTTTAAAAAATAAATTACGCGGTAAAAATTCGCTTGACAATTGTTCAGTTATTATGTTGTACTACTCTGCAGTGATTCTTACATCATTAATATTTTCCATTAATTTTTTCCATTTAACATTTACAGGACGTTGCTCGTGTGTAGCATGTTCTTTTAGAAATACTCAAAGTGTTAATTTTCGAGATGTTATCTATTTCTTGGAATTCTTACCGCCTGTCAACAGTAGGCAGAATCTTGGAACGATCCACTGGACTTTGGCCTAATCTTACTTTACCTCTACGTTTTAAATCAGGTGAGTTTAAAGCGACCTTTGGCTTTGCCTAGTAATTTGATATTTTGGCTGACTGCCTGTTTATATATTTCAGAAAATGTAGTCGTCACTATTGCTGACGTATCAAAAGAAGTGAGGCCAGTGAAAAATCCAGAGTATATTCCAAGGAGATATTGTAAGTTGCATTCTTTACCATTTAATTATATATCTTTTATATGTATATATATATGTATATATATATATTTTTTTTTTAATATTTAAGCATATGTACATATATCTCAGTAAAAATATTTAAAATGCGATATTTTTAGGATATTACTAGGATATATCTCAGACATTTCTATTGTGTCAGATAAGACTACGTAAGAGTTAAAATTGACAAATCACTGTAAAATAACCTACTTTCGTTTGCTTTCGAACAGTGTTACGCACACAGTCTCAAGAGACATTGAGACACTTGAAATGGATGCTGCAGAAAGATGTTTTACATCAAGACATGTTTCTGATGGGCGGCCCCGGTATACGGAGACGAGAGCTGGCTCTGGCCTTTCTGGAACTAACGGGACGGGAATTGGAGTTCATTGCGCTCACCCGCGACACTACAGAAGCAGATCTAAAGCAGAGGAGAGAGATCAAAAGTGGTACCGCTTACTATCACGACCAGAGCGCGGTGAGAGCCGCGACCAACGGGCGGGTTCTCGTGATCGAAGGCGTGGAGAAAGCAGAGCGGAACGTGTTGCCCGTGTTGAACAATTTGCTGGAAAATCGCGAGATGCATCTGGAGGACGGTAGATTTCTCATCCCGGCGTCGCGCTACAACAAGTTATTGAAGGTATACCAATTCATTTCCTCTTTCGCATGCGCCTCACACGCGGGAATCTCTCTCGCGACTTACCTGTTGAGTTCGACGAGTACAAGACGCGTGTATGACGGAGAAAATTGGTTTGCAGGTGCATAGCCAAGCGGAATTAGACGCGTGGCGTCTCGTGCGAGTCAGCGAGGATTTCATAGTGATAGCTCTGGGTCTGCCGTCACCGCGATACCCTGGCCACCCGTTAGATCCACCGCTGAGATCCAGGTTTCAGGCTCGCCACGTCCCGCCACCGACTTTCGAGGTAAGCGTGCATCCGAGTTCGCGACTTTTCAAGAGCCGGTCAGTGGATCGATCAGAAAGCGATTCGTTGAGCATTACGTGCCGTGTGTCCAATTTACGCTTACCGTGTTCCGCACTTTCCACGAAAAGCGTCAAGATGCTGTACGCAGCGCCGAGTGTCGCGCGGTGTTACCCTCTCCGAGAGGTATGCTTGCTTTATAGTGATGAATTAACGTATTTAGAAAAGTTGTTAAACAACTTCCCGATCATATATATATATATATATATAGCGGTACGCTCTCATTAAAACTTCGTCCAGTCAACCTCGTCAGCAACTTGCGACCGTGTCGCGGGGGCGGCGTTGCTATATCATTATTAAAATTGCCTCGTCCGCGACAGCGATTAAGGTCACGAGATTCGGATTTACTTCTCAATTGCGCTCCCCTCCTCTTTCTCTCTGGACTATCGGATGTCACCCGCTAAGATAGTGGATAATACGTCGGAGAGCAACAATTTAATCATTCAGACGCCGATCTTCCGGGGCTACCGTGTATCGTATAGTTGTATATGCGATATCACGCGCTTCCCTCGCACGGCTATAACTCGCGAAACTTTGCCTCTGATTTATGGGGCCGGAGTGGCGTACCATTAGACATGGGGTGCGGAGGTCGCAGCACGAGAACCCTCCCCCTCCCCCTGCGATCCGTCCATCCCTTCCGGTGCTCCTCTCGCTCGCATATAAAGCCGGGTTCGTGGCTGCGCCATGGCCACAGGCATCGCGGATCGCGTGTCCCGAACAGTCGAAACCCTACCTGTCCTCCTGTACGCCCGCGAGTCGATACGTCGGGATTCGAGCGGATTCTTACGTGTCAGATTAGAAAGAAACGCGGCCGTCGTATTTCCCCCCCCCCCCCNCCCCCCCAAAGTTTCCCCGGCCGACAGCGCGCGACCACGTTCGCGCTTCTCTCTCGCGGATGTAATTACACCGTCGACCCATCTCGAGATTCTCGCCGAGTTTCGAACGAGGGGGAGGTGCCGTAACGACGGTTGTCCGCGAACTGTTTCATTCTCCACCAGCACGCGGAAAGACGCGTGAAACAAATGAGCACGTCGGAAGCTTCTCGAAATCGCAAGCTGCGTTGCGTTTCTCCGTACTCGTAGCACAACGCGTTGGAGGGCCGCGCGATGCCGTCGAGCCCTTCTCGAAAGTCGCTCGTCGACGAACGCGGCGAGCGCGAAGCGCCTTATTCCTTCTTCGCCGAACTTGAAAATTAATTGGATATCAGCGTCGTCATTGTCATCCGTGTGCCATTTCGTTCGTGTTCCCGTTGTCGCGTTATGCCGGCCATATGGGCGTCATCGGAGAGACCCCTCTTCGTGCGGACGGTCTGGGTGGACGGTATACGCCACGCTGTCCTGACAGCCGACGACCCCGTCGTTAATCCGCGACTACGTCGGCGCGCGCGGACCTCCGCGGAGAAGAGCTTCCCCGCGATGCATCGGCAGACGGAGACGGACCGCTTGAACAGCTGTTTCACGAACCTGCACGTGGTGGTGGAGAAGAACTTCCCGGAGAAGATCCCGGCGAGGATAGCGGCGCGTAGGCAGTCGGCGCCGCCCTGCGCGAGGATGTGCGCCGGGAAGACCGGCGGCCTCCTGGAGATCTACGTGGACAAGTTGGAGGACCGCGAGAATTACCAGACGTTCTCGGAGAAGGAGGAGGAGACGAGGAGGACCGCTTCGCCGGACGAGAGCGAGCTCGATTACAGACGCTCCTTGGAACGGCGCGCGTTCCCCACGGCCCGCAAGCAGCCGGACGGCTCGTCGTCGGACGCACATTGGAACCCACTGTCCGAGAGGGTGCTGCAGTGGCTGGACCTCTCCGGGAGGGCGCGGGATTACGAGCTCGGGGCCGAGTCGGAGGAGGACAACCGGCGATGGAGCGCCGTGAGACGCAGGAGACACCACCTGCCGCGCGAGGGCTCGGCACGAGAGCGCGTGGTCGTGCAGAATTACAAGTTGCAGAAGAGCTGCAAGCTCGAATGCAAGCTCACGAAGGCCACCGACGGCGAAGCGAGACGATTCCTGCGGAAACGATTGCCGAAGATTAAGGACGCGAGGACGGAAGAGGAGGACGGCCTTCTTCGGTGCTCGGCGAAGAGCCGGGCCTCCAACGTTCCCGAAGAGGATGATTCGAAGGACGGCGAGGCGCGGAACGACCTGTTCTGGTCTCCACCTGGCCGGCTGCGGCTGCACATCGTCATGCCGAGCTTCGGTTCCGAGAAACGCGCGTCCTCGCTGGAGTCTCTGGCCTGAGAGCGACGAGGAAGGTGGGGATGAACGCAGCGGACTATCCTGTTCCCGATGTGTCGGCTGCTGCGACCGATACTCTTTGCACCGTTGATTTGTGTGTACCTGCGACGTTTCTTATTCGCGAGAGAGAGAGAGAGAGAAGCTTGTTTATTAACGATGGTCAATGAACAATTTATTTGCGTATTGCCGGAGTGCGCGATCGGCCACCCGGTACGTTTCACGCTTTTCGCTGATGCGTGAAATTAGGTAATAGTGCCTTCGGCGCTAACGCCCGCGCTTTTCCCACATGAGTGCTGCGGAGGTGCGAGATACTAATCGAGTTATGCAACGTATATATGGCGTTACGAAGCTGTGTTGTTGTCTTTTTAATCCCTCAATCGCTTAACCGCTCGGAATAACGTCAGGCATTGTGCTTGCGCGAAACAAATAGGTTGTCAATCGCAAATCTGACTTAGGCCGACTTTCACCGTCGCGAAGGATTTTTAGAAAGATTCTGCGAGGTCGTGTCAAGTTGGCGTGAATCGCTTTGCTACATAATATGTGAGAAGTCCGGGATGTTCGTCGAGGCTTTTTAAAGCGTTCCATCGAACGCACGCTTGCGAGAACCTCAGATAGTCCCGCTTGGGAAAATCGGTATGCGATATCTTCAAGATATTACTTTCTCCGCTCGAGTCTGTTTCGTCCCGATATTCCGCGATAAATAATAACGTCGTGAGTTGTTTCGCGTCGAGAGTTAATCCGAAGCCGTGATGCAAACCCATTATTGCGCACCGGGGGAATTGGAGTCGACGGCGACGTCGCCTTGTTTTACGCCGCTCGGAAACTGAATAGAACTTAGTTAATAATAACTCGCGGAAAAGATCACTTAAAACTTCAAAATAATTATACGGCATGGAGAGTATTTAAATCCCGTTTCCCGCGGAACGAATGTTATCCGTCACGAAGCGCAGTGTACATATTATTAGTCCGAGGGAATTGCTGTCACGCGCAGAAACCAGCCATACATACATACATATATATATATATATATATATATATTCATACATATATATGTATATATATCGGGATTTATGAATATAATATATATAAATAGGAGAATACAAGAACCGCGCGTCACCACACGTCACCACGAGTCAGCGCTCGTTGACGTTGAAAACCTTATCGCTGTTTCGATCGGTTTATTTTAAATTGTGCGAAAGAGTTACGGCGATTGCGTCAATCTTTCCGTCAATTTTATCTCGACAGAGGAAGAGAGAAGTGGCACACTTGTATTTCTCACGTCGCGCAATTATAAAATTACACTATGCAACGCGCGTCACACTCGGGCTGGATCGAAGTTATTTTCTCGTTATATCGCGAATCGTGTGTCACGCTGATCGTGACTTCGTTGACTTATGTGTCACCTCTGCGAAACGATTCCGTCGTCATAATGGAAAATGAAAATAATAGAGCGCGCGGTCGGCGTTCGGGGGTCGCGCAGCTATATAATATACCCATTGTCAGGGCAATAAAAGTTGGCCGGTGCGAAATAAGGGTGCGCGGGCATCTGTTTTCTATATACACGTGTCGTGTCATCATTTAATAATCAATCATCGCAAAAGTCGGCGCCGCGTTAAAATAGAAGTTTGACTTTCGCCTCTGATGGATGCTCTCACGGAAAAGAAATATCGCGGCAATTTAAGTTCGCCACGATTCATTTGCGGTCACCACATTGCGGATAACAGATATGTGCGTTTCAGAAATGTGTTTTTCACGTAGCCAATCTATTGTGTAATCAGACTGACATAAAATACAGACTATGGGATAAAGATAGGCGATACAGTAGAAAATTTCGATATTTAATGTCGATACGTATCGTAAATAAAAATATCAGTACATCAAAAATATCAGATGAGATGTGTCGATATTATTGACATCGATATTGTTGATATTTCTATTGTTGGCAGCATTCCAATTAAATATATGCGTGTTTACGTTTTTTATTTACATCTTATATTGATTTCATATAAAAATCACAATAACCGATCTTTTACATAGAGGAAATTTAGAAATAGCAACTGTTTTAAATGTTCATCTGTTATATGGTTTCTATTTTCGGTGTCCATTTTCGGTGGTGATATTTCCAGCTTGTGAAAATAATCACTCACTCGGAAAGGAGGTCGCAATTATACTTAAATATTTTAATACTATGTCTTTTAAGGAATAATATGTCTTTTCAGAATATATATTTATTAGCTAATATTTTAGTGGACTGTTACCCATTTTCGTCCTGTGTGCAAGTTTCATTGCAGTTTCGATGCACCCTTTCCAGAATTTAGCCAATTAGATTAAAGAAAACTAATCTCAAATTTAATAAACCTTGCTCGGATTGATTAAATTTCAATCCAATCTCAATCTTCAAGCCATGGTCTGATACGGGCTTTACGGATCGTATTGGAAGTTCGATATTTTTGTTCAAATATCGATACATGTTAATATCGAAAGATAAAATATCTATAGAAAATATGGATAATGGAGCCCAAATGTATCGGTACTTAAGATATCGTTACTGTATCGCCCATCCCGCTATGGGATTCTACCTCATTAATTATTTCCAATACAAATATTTATATTTACCGAAATTGTCGATATTATCCATATTATCCATATTTTGATAGACGATAATATTGATATATCGAGAAATTATTGCGTTCCTATAAATGACACACGCGGAATCTGTTATGCGTGTCCTCTTAAATATGCCGAGGTTGGTTGGTTATAATTCTCGTGAGTCGGAGATCGGAACCGTCGACGTAGCGCCGAATTGTTTAAATTAGTAAGGATTTTCTGTCTCGTATAATAATATCGGGTCTTGTGTTTGATCTTCGGCGTGCGAGTGCATTGAACTGTGGAAATTGCCGGAAATGGCGAATCGCGTGTCCGAAATAGACGGTTAAACGGGACAGTGATAGACCCGGTGACACATCTCCGGAGGAAGCCCGCGAACTTTTACCGAGCTGCCGCGCTGTGAGGGCCTTGTGTACTTTCATCGCGACGACGGCGCTTTCGTGGGAGATGCTGTCGTCGAGCTCCAATTTCGTCGAGCTCTCGAAATCGGCGCGAGATCTGTGTATTCGATATCGGGCGATATCGACGCGCAAATAACCGAACCCGGGTGTCGGCGGAGAGGTTGCCGAGCGCTTCGGCAAAATTGATTCTCCGTTTCTTCTATTTTCGCGACGAGTCCCGCCCGCCGGGAGGAGAGCCGGTCACGAAAACCACATTTCCGCCAACGCCGCAATTACGGCCGATCGAGGGCTCGAGATTATAACTGGGCGGGCCGATTGAAAGTTTTCGATGGAAATTCCGAGGGTGGGCGGGATATCTTTCGGGGCTTCCGTGCCGAGTGGTAGTTATTCAGCTGCTCAAGCTGCGCGCAATGTTGGAAAGCTCTCGGTGTTAATCACTCTCGGAAGGAGAGGGAAACACCGTATCCGTACGAATCGCGGTATAACATTCCTCACGTGCGCGCCAGTTGTGCGCCGCTATGTGGGCTATGCGGCTTACGAGAAGGCGGAAGTAATGGGAAGATAACTTCGCGTTCGCGCCAGCTTCGCTTTGCCGAATTCGAGTGGTTCAACGCGCTGCAGATAGACTGTTAAGTAACGTTAAATATATTACGTAATAGCCGTAAACTTGGGCGCGGCAGTTCGGAACTTCCGTCTTGGCCTGCCGAATGACTACCACGAGCGCGGAATGTTATTAAGCTCGTGACGTTCCCGTCGACGACGTTATTAAGCGTAAGTCGGATGTGCTTATTTAAATGGATGTAATCCGCAAATCCATTCGCTCCTTACTCGACGACGCGGGATGATTAAAGATTCATTGTAAAATCCTCCGACAACTTGATTTGGCTTCCGAGTTGACGCCGCGTCCTTCGTGGATTTCTTTCCGACGTTTCGTTAGCACTTCAGTTCACTTCTTCACAGTGAGGAGATGCAACCCGGTCTTCTGATATGACTTGTTATTTACTGAATTATTTTTATACACAGAAAAATATATACCGCATTAAAATAAATATTTTACTCCTTTCAAGTGTTACACGAGTGTATCCGCGAGTATAAGTTCATCACAAGTATCAAATTTATTCAAGATATATTTTGAATCCTGATAAATTTAGTATTTCAACCAAGAATATTAAATTAATACATTAAAACTACGTGAAGGAAGTATTGTAGTAAAAAATACCACATAAAATTTTGTAATGTTAGACCATATCGGAATTATAACTTCATTGCATATATCGCTAAAAATTACAACACATATAATAATTTTAGTTATAATTCCGGTTCGCTTCAACATTGTAAAATCTCGTGGTAATTTTTACTGCGATATTTTCTATCTTCGGTTTATATATATACTTATTCGCAATTATTCGCGCAATTTTGCCAGGAAGATCATTTAATCGGGACTTCTCTGTTTTAATACATTTAATCGCGCGGGATTTCGAATTTATTATGCTACGTACGCTAAGATCCTTTCAGAATTTTCTTTTACATTCAGATCCCTGATTTTGTTTTTCAAGGAACAATTCGATGCCCTGAAAAATTTAGCGCCGAACGTGGACGCCGGTAAATTGTCACAATTACTGTCGTGCGCCCATGCTTTAATTAGTCAGGAAGCTGTCACTATAGGCTTGCCGGATTTTCCTTTGGACAGTTTGCCGTCGGCTGCTTTAATTCTGGTAAATATCGTATCCTCGATCGGGAATCGATCGCGGACGAATCCCCTCCGACATTAATTTTGCGCGTGAATTTTTACGCAGGACAAAAGCCCGGAGTTGCCGGTGTTCGACATATTCTATCGGTTTTACCCGTACAAACTATTTCTGGGTAAGGAAGGACAGAGCGCGGTGGAGGATATCCTTGGTACCTTTAATGTGCTGGATGACGCCTCGAAAGAAAGGCGGTCTGTTAATAGCGAAATAAACGCCGCCAGGAAAGCCGATGATCTCTCGGAAATTGGCATAAAGCGCGATAATGCGGAAACGTACTTTCACGTAAGCTCTCAGCATTATCTGTCCGTATCTCACCGTATGTGTGTTATCGATCCTTATCACGCTCGATCACTGAAAACCCATATTTCACAACATCTATAGGTCCTCTGCGGCGCGAGTCAGTTGTCTAATAGCGTAAACAGTGATGCTTACATAGAGACTAATTATCAGAACAATTTGTTGGCGAGCATGCTGGAGTCACATATGACGTCCGATTTCTGTTTGATCGGGCCGAAAGGCTGCGGCAAGTCCACCACCGTTCGACGGCTCGCTGATTTATTAGGATACCAAGTGGAGCCTATAGTACTTTATCAGGCAAGTCTCTCGAGCACCTTTTTATCGTGGATGGCACTGTCATACACAGAAAAAAATATTACTTGCATTTGGAAGAAAAGCAACTACTCAGTTTATCCTTCTATTAAGTAATGATTATCTTGAACGAAGAATATTTTCTTGATACGGTATTAAAATATACTCCTGACAAATATTAGAAAAGCTCATTATCATTTAGAACGGATTCCTTCTTCGAGTAAATTATAATGAGCTTTTCTGATACTTGTGACAAGTATATTTCAATACTATTATCAAGGAGATATTCTTCGTCCAAGGTAATCATTATTTAACCTCTTCGTTACGATCGTCGATTAAAGTTGACAGTCACGAAAGGCACACGACCGATTGTCATATTATATTTACATGTGAATTCATCATAAAACAGTTGTTGCACAAAAGTATCTTGCGATTCGCTTGTCTCGGCCATCAAGTAATACTACGCGGCGGACGTGCGTCATACCGAAGAGGTGAAAATAAGAAAAATAGACTGAGCAATTGCTTCTCCTCGCAGGGAAGGTAATATTTTTCTGCGTGTAGCACTATCGCCAGTTCTCCCGATCTTTTCTACTTTTTCTTTCGCCTCTTCAACGGCCTCCATCGCGAGAGTAGCGAGAGAATCTCTCGCACAATGGCCGCTGCAGCAAAACTCGCTTTGAAACGGTTGAAATATTTTCTTAGGATATGACTTCTAGGGACCTGATACAACAACGCACCACGTCATCCAACGGCGACACGATCTGGCGAGACTCGCCGCTGGTCGACGCGGCCCTCCGCGGCAAATTGGCCGTGTTAGACGGAATCAATAGGATTCACTCCAGTACCTTGGCTATACTTCACAGGTAATTCGAGGCGCTCGGTAGGCGCGTTTCGAAGTAATGTACCGGGTGACGCGTCATCGCTTTTGCTCCTTGTACGCGGGAAAAAAATTCATCTCAACTCAAGGATGGATATTCTTGTATAAGCAGGAGTATCATAATCTTTATATAAGATTCTTAGTCGTGATTTGATTTATTAAATTTGTATTGACGCAAGTATTACTTGCACTCAATTCAAGGCTAAAAATCTCCTAAGAATGTTATAATACTCTTGCTTGTAGTATATGAGAATATATCTATCATTGATTCGAGATTATTTTTTTCTACACAGATTGGTCCATGATCGGGAATTGCAGCTGCACGACGGCAAGCGACTCGTGCGAGCCGATCGTTACGACGAGATCAAGAAAGAATATGGCAGGTCCGAGGAAGAGATGCGCGATCGCGGTGTTCTGCGAATCGATCCCGCCTTCAGGCTGGTAGCTTTGGCCGAGCCGCCGATCGTTAACAGTTCGTCCGGCCAGTGGTTGAATTCCGAATTGCTCAGCTTGTTCCTCTTCCACGAGATGCGACCGCTCGACCGGCACGAGGAGATCCACATTATTCGCTCGAAGGTGATTGTCGCGGTCACGGTACCGTGATATTCTTCTGGCTCCCAGTGAAGGTCTTGGCAGAATGGCTGTCAATTAGCTTACTTCTTGCTGCATACTTTATGATTATTGTAGACTGTCCTTAAGACACACAGTCACATTAATACAGCTAAATTTAGCATAGAGGAAGTTCCATTCCACACAAAACACCGGAGAACACTTAAGATAGTCTATGATAACAAAAAAGGAAATGTAAAAAAATGATAATTTGGACAACGGACTAAGAAACATTGTTTGAAAATGACAAGTCAGTCATTCCGCCCTGAGTCTCACGGGAACGCTCTGTTGCAGTTCGGCGAACCCGGCCGGGCGTTGTTGAGTATCATAGAATTGGCGCATCTGCTGCGCTCGTCCAGCGATCCGACGCTGCAGTCTGTCGCGGGGTCGCTCAGCACCCGGCAGCTGCTGCGGATCGCCGAGCGGATGCACCGGTTTCGGTGCGACGACGCTTACGACGCGGTGCAGCGCGCGTGCCTGGCACGTTTCTTGCCGACGATCGCAAAGCAGGCCCTTGAGGACTGCTGCCGCCGGCTAGGCATCGTCCCGGCGGCGGCGGCGTCCGCGGATCTCGAGTGCGCGGTCACGTGGGACACCGTGAAGATCGGCGACACCGTGGTGGACCGGTACCGCACCGAGGCCCTCAGCAAAGTACCGGACATCTTGTTCTACGACGTGCCGGAGCACGTCGCGCTGTTGGAGCGGCTGCTACAGGATTTCAGCCTCGGTCAGAATCTGCTGCTGGTCGGCAACCAGGGCGTCGGCAAGAATAAGATCGTCGACCGGCTGTTGCAGTTGCTGAACAGACCGCGCGAGTACATACAGCTGCACCGGGACACGACCGTGCAGACACTGACCCTGCAGCCGATGGTTAGGGACGGCAGGGTTGTTTACGAAGATTCGCCGCTGGTGCAAGCGGTGAAGCTAGGCCACGTCCTCGTCGTCGACGAGGCGGACAAAGCGCCCACGCACGTGACGTGTATATTGAAAGTACGTATAATAGCTCCGACAGCTATTACAACCGCCCCCTCTCACCTAGACGCTCCATAAATCGCGAGAAAACAACCCGTCATTTTCAGACTCTGGTGGAGTCGGGCGAGATGATTCTGTCGGACGGCAGACGAATCGTCCCTCGTCGCGACGACGGCGACGCGCCTCGCGCGAACATCATACCCGTGCACCCGGACTTCAGGATGATAGTGTTGGCGAACCGGCCGGGTTTCCCGTTCCTCGGCAACGACTTCTTCGGGGCGCTGGGCGACCTCTTCAGCACGCATTCCGTCGATAATCCGAGTACACGCAGCGAGATCCACTTGCTGAGGCAATACGGCCCGCATGTCGACGAGCTGGTGATAAATAAGTTGGTGAGAGCCTTCGGCGAGCTGAGAAGTATGGCCGATCAAGGTCTGGTCGCGTATCCTTACTCGACTCGCGAAGTAGTCAACGTAGTTAAGCATTTGGAGGTGAGTTGAAACGAGGCTCTCGGCGGTTACAACATCTGACCGGGCCGTGTACCTTTTGTTGCAGAAATTTCCGAACGAGCCGTTAGGCAACGTAGTGCGCAACGTCTTCGACTTCGATCGATACAGCCAGGAAGTGTTCGACACTCTGGTAACTGTGCTTCATAAGCATGGGATTCCCGTTGGGACGAGCCCGACTAATGTTGCCTTAGCTAAGGAGTAAGATAATCCCTACGTACCTCTTGAACTTTCGCGAGACGTGCGACTCGAGCGAGCTTGCGCGAGCATCAGGAAAATGTATTTTAGTTGACTTGGAATTTCGTGACTGGTCAACGGTAAAATTTAGTTTTTGCGACTTTTTTACGTATTTTTTTTAGTACAATGACCCCGTTGTTACGCTATAAGTAAAAGAGAGAGAGAGAGAAAGGGAGAAAAAGAAATAAAGTCGTGAGAAGCATCCAGATCTCACAATGTCCCTCCTCCTTTTCTCCATTGCAGAATATCTCTACCCGAGATGAAGATCTGCGGTAGTTGGAACGTCCTCGACGCGCTCGAGAGTGTACCCGTTCAGGAAAGGTACGTTAAGTTAAAGTCACCGGAGTTTCCGGAACAGAACGACCGGACTCTGGATCGAGTTGAAGCCAGATCGGCTTGGTTTACGGAGCAACAGAGTTACTGGACGGTACCTATTGGCGAAAACAGTGCGGTGACTGCTTTAACAGTCGCGGGTGGAAGTAAAGGGGATGGTATGGACGATAAGATTCACGTTCTCACGACGAATCCTTTGAGCGTATTTAGCATGACGCCGGCATCCGAACAGATACGTGAGACGTCGTTGCAGGGCTTAATTAGTCCTTCTCGAGGCAAATTGCCGTATTACAGTGTCGCGGTCGACAAATCCGGGAATGTTTTGGTTCACGAAGAAACCGTAAGTAATATAATTTAAAGAAAAGAGGATAAAAGGAAAGAGAGAGAAAGAGAGAGAAATATCCATCGCGCTCTCATCACGCGGCGCATATCGAACTTGATTCGCTCGTTTTTAGAGTAATTCCACACTCATGGTAAACATAGACGACGGCTCCGTCCGGGAACTGCAGACTTCGTCCATGCTGGACATCGCCAGCGACCGAATATCAAGCGCCTTCGGGAGCACGGGTCCTCAATGGAAGATGAAGGCGGACTTGTTGTCGTCGCATAATCTGCTCGTCTTCTTCACGCACGGCCAAAATAAGATCGACGTGCTCGATCTGCGGACCATGTTCGCTTGCTCGATGAATCTGCCGTGCGACGTCGAGTCGCTCTCGCTCGCCTCCGACAAGAAATGGCTGATTCAGGACACGTCGAAGAACAAGTACGTTCTCGCGAAATCCTCGGACGCCGATCCGTGCCCGAACGTCTTGCGCGAACTGAACGAATCTAACAGCGCGTACCTGAAGGCCGGTAGTGTCCTGAGCTGCGGCAAGAGCAGCCTGTCCGAGGCCGACCTGAGCGAGGCTCTGCAGCAGAGAATCAGCTCTCCGAATCGAGTCGTAGTGACCGATAACACGTACGCCGGCATTGCGGTAGGCTTTCCCGATTTAGACGGCTCTAACGACCTACACTTCTGGCCGAGGAAAGGGAGCACGCGTAGCTTTATGACGCCCATCGTTACGCAGCACGGGCGAGTGATTAGAACCGTCTCGCCCGATCAGGTTCCCGATGAAGTGTGTCCCAAAGATAAGAGACGCATGGGGATTTCCGGTTACTTGGAGATAGTCGACACAGTGCGCCGGAAACTGCGTTACATACCTATCCCGGAGTGAGTATATACGTAAATATGCGGTGGTAATCGGAGATTTTAAGCGCGTATTTTACGCTTTCCTTCTGTGGCATACGCCCGACGAATAATATCGATCGAATGGCTGTGTTCGTATATTCACAGCCAGCATTGGAAATCTAGTTCATCTCAGCGAAGCAATACGTGATTGTTACATAAACTAGGGAGCACATGAGAAGAACAATGTTATGTTCCACTATTACGTAAACGAGATGTACAGGTGTTATATAATCTTGGGAGCGCATTAAAAAAACCAAGTTATATTTTTTCATTATATATTTATGACGCGTGTAACGGTTCTTTAAAAATTGAATGTAACACACACGTAACTCGAGATACACAACATAAATATAAAACGGCAATATTTTTCAGTAATACGTCTTCTGGTGTATGGCTTTTCGTACATTTTTAAGATATCGAGCCCGTTAGCGCGATATTCTTCGTTTATTTCTTCGAATAATATAAATATACGTTTTGGAAATAACATTTGCAAAAACAATTTAAATTTTTCTAAAAACAATCAAAAAATTTTTTATCAACAGGATACGTAAGCACAACTTTTCTCACGAATAGTACGAATTGTTATATACATTGTGTTTTTAATTATCTTTATTATATAACCTCCAATTAATGCAAAATATGATATGCGAAATTTTTTTTTATTATTTAAATAAAATGATGAAACGTACACATACATTTAAACGATTTCAATAGATAATTACCATAGTATAAGTGGATATTAAATAATCAGTAATTCTGTGCTATACGTCTTATACATGTATCAGAAATAGGACATTTTGAAGTATTGTGATACGTGATCTTAAATATATCTTAAAAACCTTAAATAGATCAGATAAGTATTTATGTTACTTACATTTAGTATTATATATAATATACATATATGTTACTTATGTAACATTATGATTATTTCGTGAAACTTAATATATATTTAAGATACATATGTTACATTACTGTATTTGCTGGGACGTATATTATAGATTTTCAGTGTAGCTGGCAGTGAATATATGAACACATACGTAGGATATTACATCCCCTCTGTTGTCGCGCACTTACTTCCGGTAGAAGCAAGTGAGAGACTCGTTAAATCTCTTTCATGTGTACAGACCGGTCAATGTCTCGCCGTTGACGCAATGGCTGTACTCGAAGGACCTTCCGCTTTATGCGTCGCTTACGTCGAACGAAGGTCTTGTCACAATAGACGCCGGTGGCTGCGTCCGCTTATGGGAGACGTCCGTTACGAACGTAGAAAAGTCGTTGGGGGCTTGGCGCAAAATGATCGACAGCGGGGAGGAGAGGTTGCAGATTACCAAAGAGAGATACTCGGGTCTGGACGTGAGCGGGCCGAAGCACGGGAAGGTCGACGAAAAGAACGAACCCCACGTGGGCGGCAATACTTGGGCCGGAGGGACTGGAGGTATGAATAATACCGAGCGAAACGAGTAATTTTCGCGAGAGAACGAATACACGCGCTTGAAAGTGTCACAGCAGTGCAATCAATCGATCGATCAGTATACGGGACGCGCGTTAAATTATTATTTACTATTGTTTAATTTATGCCCCTTGCGGCTTGGTTCGGTTTGTCCATCTTTTTATATTATATACCATTTCTTTTTATCCTTCTCTTAATCTACATATCCTCACCACTCAAAATTACGTACAGCTTCTAATCTGTATCCAAAGTCGACTCGATCACATATATATCTTAATTAAAACGCAATTGATATACAATTAATTTATAAGTATTATGAGATCGCTATAACAACGTAATATAATTTATGATCTATCACTTGGATCTGTTGAAAACTAAATGGAAACTCACATAACTGAAAGCTGAAAAGTGAAAGCTAAACGCTAAATCCTGAATTCTGTATTCTCAATATCACTAGAAGTGAAAAATCGTCAACTGAAAGTTATAATCTAGATTTGAGCTTCAAACTATGAATCCTCAACATAATTATTCATCTCTTTGTCTTTCCCTTTAATTAAATCCACTTCGCTAATTACACTTTTCTCTTTTCACATTCTTCTCGTTCTCCTTATCTACGACTTCTTATCTACAACGTTCACTTTTCATTGCTTTCCCTTGGGCGCGCCTTAAATTACGTTCCAGGTAGAGACACGGCGGGCTTGGGCGGCAAAGGGGGGCCTTACCGTTTGGACGCCGGGCACACGGTGCATCAGCTCAGCGACGAGGAGAAGAATGCGGTGCCGGAACACATAAGGAAGGCTGCCCGCGAGATGGGCCTGCGCGCCTTCAAACAACGGCTGAAGGATATCCGGATGAGCGAATACGATCACAAATTGTACAGCCAGTTTAGCGACGCCGTTTATAACCAGGTGCAGGCCTTGAGGGTGATCCTAGGTGAGCGAATCCTAAGTCGGTGAATCTCTGCCTTCCGAGACCGAGATCTTTCTCATTCGCGTATTTCACGCTGACGCGTTCACAGGCACGCTCCAGGCGAAGAGCAACGAGCGGCAGTGGTGCAAGCACCAGACGTCCGGCGAGCTGGACGATACGAAATTAATCGAAGGATTAGCGGGCGAGAAAACGATTTACCGGCGCAGAGCGGAGAAGGAGCCGGAGATTGGCGCTCCGCAATTAAAACCGAAGCGGTTGAAACTGGTGGTGGATGTGTCCGGTAGCATGTACAGGTTCAATAGCTACGACGGTCGGCTCGATCGCGAGTTGGAGGCTTGTGTCATGGTAATGGAGGCTTTTAGCGGGCACGAGGGAAAGTTTCAATACGACATCGTCGGTCATTCCGGCGACGATTATCGTATTGTCTTTGTCAATCGTGCGGAACCGCCGACGGATAATAAGCGTAGGCTGGAGGTGGTTAAGGTAATTAAATTTACCCGTACCATTCTCTCTCCTCCCCTTCCCCCGGTCTCTTTCCGGCAAAAGGCCGTGTTATGCAAGTTAAATAATGAGCTCATTAAAACCCTCGTAGACAATGCACGCTCACTCGCAATTTTGCTTGTCCGGCGATAATACATTGGAGGCGACGCAGCACGCAATTGCGAGCCTGGCAAAGGAGGATTCCGACGAGTCCATCGTAGTCGTTCTTTCGGACGCGAATCTAGAACGTTACGGCATCTCGCCCGAGCGATTCGCGAGGGTATTGATGTCTAACATGGACGTGAATGCCTACGCCATCTTCATCGGATCACTGGGTGATCAAGCGACTAGGTAATATCGATTGTAATGATCTCCGCGACTAAAAACTAATGTCTCCGTGTCCCTCCTTCGTGAAGGTGAATGCGATTGATTGATGTCAATCGGTATATTCGTATCCTTTTCAGGCTGATAAAGAAGATGCCTTCTGGTCGCGCGTTCGTGTGCATGGACCTTAAGAATATACCGCGGATCCTACAGCAGATATTCTCCGCGTCGGTTCTAAGTACGACGCGGTCGACTTAACGCACATCGATTATATAGAGAAAATAATTTCCCGCGTAGAAAAATCATCAAGGTGAACAACGTAAACGGTTATTCTGACACATGATCGCGTTTGTACAATCACTGTAAACCTCTGTAAATAAAAGCTCTTTCTAATTTTCACGACATAAATAAGCGTCCCTCTGCGTTACGCGAGTAAGTGCAACGGCACAGATTCGCCTCGTGAGATGCGAGTGACGAATTGAAGATGCACGCACACATAAGCGTTCTCTCATCGGTGACGTTACTCTAAGACGCTTTCCGCCCTGAAACACTAATCAGGAGGATCTTAATCCGCACGTGCACGTGAAAGCGGCGCGTTATCGCGCGCGGGGCCTCTCGCGAGTGAACTGCGACTTTCTACCGCGGGGTAAACGCCCGGGTCTGTCCGCGCACCGACGTCACGGAGGACGAAGCGTCGTCCTACAAGGGTGGCAACGTGGAGCTCGCATCTCGACGAGCGCGCTCGGGCTTTCATCCCCCTCGGAGAGAGCCGAGCACAGCCGAGGTTGCGCGGAGAGGATCGAAGCGCGGTGGTGAAGTCGCACTGGTGCGCGCGCGCGCGCGCCGAGGGTGGTGGTGTGGGGCGGCCGATTGTCAGTTGCACGCCGGTCGTTGAATGGAGCGGGTGTGGAGACGCGTACAGGGTGCCGGGCGCCGCGGTGCCGCAGCTCGTTGCGGCTGCCCCGTGCAGCCGTGTCAGTTGCACGTGGACCAACGTGCGAAGCGCGGCGGCCGTAAATCCCGCGGGCCTCAGACCATCGTCTGCGATTGCCAGGTGCAGCCGTGCCCGGTGCATCCGGTGCTGATCAGAGTCCGGCGTACGCGACCGGCCACCAGCTGCGACTGCCCGCCGGACGCGCAGCCCTGTCCGCACGCACAGCAGCGAGGATCAGCCGCGCGAAGGGTCAGAAGGTAAATAAATAAATAGCTTTGCGGGCCGGATGTTTTTCGGCGCGTTTCTCGCGGGCGGTCGGGTCAGCTGGAGGCGAAGGCGGTACGATTGTGTGTGTGTGTGTGGTCGGCCAGAGGTTGCCGAGTAGTGGTAGTGTTGTAGGGGTTGTAGGCGGTGGGACTGGTATCCCAAATATCGGCCCGTGAATTGATTGGGTGACGTGGTGCGCCCCTTCCCCTCTTGCTCGTAGCTTGATCGATATCACTTGTTGACCAATGACCTTCCGTCGTGATTATTAAAAAGCTGTTGCTGGTTTACACGGCCGTGTCGTCGCACGATGCGGGATAAATGCCGGGAGATCGTCGCTGTGATCACGAATTTGGGGTAGTTTCGGCCGATCGATAAGAGTGGAGGGAATAACGAGCAACAGTTACGCTCGCTCGGACACGCTGTTGTACAGGGTGTTTCAGCTACGCGACACTTCCTCTCACCTGACAAATTTCTCGATTCGCTCGAGATCGTTTTGTAAATTCGTAAATCCCGTTGCGACGGTGTTCTCTCCTTCTTTCTTTCTTTTTTCTATTTGTTTTTCACGAGTGCTCAGATGTTGTCGTTTGATGGTAGCGAATAGTTGGCGGTCGATCGCACAAAGCTCGACCGCTGCGCGGTCTGAAAGATCGCGGCGGAAGGGGTGGAAGGCAGCACAGAGGTCAGGAGCCAATGTTGGCACTTGCACCGATCGGGGAGCTTTCAGATGAATGATGCGAATAGCCAGTGTCGTTAACTTGCCGTGAACTTGCGAGCCTTCGCCTGTTACCCAAGGGTTGATGCAACTGCTCACTCGCGGGGAATTGAACCAGACGATTACCTTGTCCGGATTAACATGAGGGGGGAGGTGCCTTCGCGGCGAAAGCGCGGAATGTGATGACGTTTGAAAGCGTTCCCATGTCTGCGTGTCGGAACAAATTTCAGCCAGTCCGAAGAGCCTGAGAGAATGCTAATTCGCTCGCGCGCGGCCTTTTGTCCTCGCGGTAATCCTGCGATATTGATTTATAGAGTGCCACGTGCGTACGTTGAACATGATGTGTATCGCGTATTTATCGTAATTTCTAGTTCGGGCGATTTTACACGAGCCGTATGCGCGTGGAGGGGGGGGGGAAGGGGGATTTCGCTGATACATAAATCACGATATAAATATTCGCGTCGTTTTCGCGTGTACGCGCGTAATTGTGTACGCGTCGTACACGCACGTCCGAGCGTTTATTTCATCTCGTGGCTCTCGTCGAATATGATTCGCACATATTTTAGCGCGAATTGTATCGGCGTGAATATACTGGGGATTAAAACGTTTGCGCTCCGCGGAAATGTCTTATTTACGGGGCAGTTGCAGGATCAACACGGCCGGGACGAAAAAGTGACAGATGAATCAAGTCAGTTTAGCTCGCGACGCAATTATCCACGCGCTGTGTTAAGTTCAATCCCGATATAACCCGCTCGCGGACCATCGGCTTTCGGCCTGACCTGATTCACCCCTTTTGCTTCTTTTCCTTGCGACGCTGCCTTTCCTCCGTTTCACGATGTCATTGTGCGATAATACGTTAAAATGAAGTTTCCGATAGTCGATAGGAGAAACTCTTTCGGTTTAATTCGAGTCCCTCTCAGATATGTATCTCGGGCGAAATATGTCTCGCGAGCGCTGTGTCAAAATCGGCATCCCCTCCCCTTCCGCGATATTCAGGCGCTCGCGAATAATTGCTTCAATCTCGCTATATAAATCCGGAAAAATCAATACCCCCCGCGAAGCGAACATTTGTATAATTTTCAACTGGAAGTTCTACTGCCTCCCTCCCCCTCTCTCTCTCTCTTTCTTTCGTGAAACGTCCGACGAACTAGTCAGGGAAGAAAGTAACTCGCTGAAAAGTTCGCTCGGCTGATCGGCGTGTCTCTCCTTTCATCGCAGATGCGAATGTACGGATCGTTCCTGCCGACACACAGCCTGCGGCGCTGGTACCCGTCGTCGCGCGACCCCGCATACCTCCTCCCCCGTCAGCACGACGCAGCTACAGCTGCAGCAACAAGCGCAACAGCAGCAGCCGTGCGAGTGCGCCGACGAGAGATTAAGCTGCGCCCACACAGGCGGCGGCGAGGCGCCGTGCGAGTGCGGCGAGGAGGCGAAGCCGTGTCCGCACACGGTCAAAACGCGGCGGACGCGTCGCACGTGCGACTGCAGCTGCAGCCAGGCCGGCACACAGCCCTGCGGCCACAAGCCGCAGCCCGAGGGCCGCATCAAGCGAGTTAAGTGCCGCGTGAGGCGCGCCGGCTGCGCGATGGCCCGATGCACCGCCGAGCTCGCGATGCTGCACCTGCACTGGGAGCTCGCCACCGAATGTGCGCCCTGCAGGCCGCGCGCGCTCACGCGACGGCTCTGCAGGAGGCAGCAGAGCGACAACGAGCTCTACCGCAGCAACAGCTTCAAGTTCGAGCGCTTCGAGCGAACCAAGGACGAGTGCGTCACGCCGCTCCGCAAACAGGTGAGTGCGCGCTTGCTCGCGCTGCGCTGCTCACCTAATCGGGATGTGCAACGCAGCGAGTTGACGAGTCTCAAGTATATGTGCTATTTTCCCATAGGATCGTTCAGCGCGTTGCTTCCGATTAAGTGCAGACATGAGGTAATATATGAGGGGCCAGAAGCACGGATATATTTTCGCGTGAGTCACGCGTCGACACGTGCGCGTTGAGTGTCCGCGGGACGACGGCCAGACGCGTCGCGCTTGCGTTCGCACTGAAACGCGCTACCGTTCAAGCAACGTTCGTTTGGCTCGCAGCAAAATGAATCCCTCGGCAAATATTTGCTAGTAGAGATATAATTGACTATGTGCACACGCAATATGATATTTCTTTTGTATAAGTGGACACTTATATATGTTAAAACAGTTGCGACCAGTACGAAATTCATAACAGAATACACGCCGCGAATATCAGAATTTATTTTTAGAAAATACCGGAAAAATTGAAATTTCAAATCACTAGGTTCCTTCAGTGGAAAAGAAGTATTATATAATTTGAGTATTTTTTGAAATTTATAGAATCATTTTACACTCACATTCAGTAATCTATTTGCAAATTAAGTTACTATTGCGTTTAAATAAGTGTTTACTGCAAGCTATTAAAATATAGTGAAACTGATTGAAATATTACCTGATTTGAGAGCTTGAAAAACAGGTAATTACGTTTACTTGATTCTAACACTGCTTTTCTGTATATAATACGGATGAATATGTATATAATACGGATGAAATACATTCCTCTGGAAATTATTAGCAGAGTTGCATGAACGTCAGCAATAGGAAGCGAACAATACAGCGTACGACTGTACGCACACGAGCTTCGTTTATTAACCATAGCGATGGATATACACCTGCTTTCACGTAAGCTTCTGCAAAGTTAATCAAATCGCGCGCGGCATTCAACATGTTAATATGAAGTTAGACTCTATGAACTCGGTGACTCGCGCAAAATGACTGAGAGATTATTTGTGTAACGAAGCCGGCTATTGGACGGCCGCTATAAAACGTCACGGAAAGTTTGCCGACCGCTTTGCTCGGATTACTTTTTAAACAGTGCACGACGTATAACGAGAAGGGGAGAGTAAAGATTCATACGGCGACTCGTACGAGCGCGTCGTAACTTCAGTCCCACTTTTCCGCGCGTATATATTCTATCGCAATAGTATTTCAAAGTCCAACAGCCTCTAGAGGACCGAGGGAAAGTACCTATACTCCACTTTGTGTGCAGGTGAGTCCTTCAAAGTTTGATGGCACGGGACGAAGACTACGCAGCAAAGAGTATTTTCGTTTTTTTACGACATCAAAGCGAGACACCCTTTTATGGTTCTAGTGTGATACTAGGAGAATGGTATAAACGATATTAGTCGCGTTAACGCTGTGAATGGTAAATTGTCATTGTTATTTAAGCATTGTTTAGTTATCGTGACACTTCGATCCGTCAAGTGCAATAATTGCGCCATTCTCGTCGATCGACGCCGAGTAGAATCCATTGAAAACTCTGCAAATGTCAACTCTGCAATGACGCATTAAAATTCCACACTACTGATGTGAAGAGGGAATGTTCTATTGATGTTATATGTCCATTTCATAATATTCTTTGCATATTATAAAAATGTTTTTAGAATATAAAAGAAAAATAAAAAAATAATAATATATTAAATAGAAAAATATATTAAATAAAATATACATATATGTTATATATATTATATATACATATATATTATATATATATATATATACATACCGTTGAATATTTAAAAAATATATAATATTACAATAATATTAAATAATATTATTTTTTAAATATTATTAGAGGAATGGACAATTAGTCGCGTTAACGCGACTATTGACATATATTGACATATAATACATCTATTAATATTCCAGAAATATTACTTAATATTAAATAATATTACGCGCTTATAGGGATGTATTCTCAGGGACATTTCCTTGAAAAGAATATTCAGATCGGGATGTGATCGGGATGTGACGCGGGGTTGCAGTTCGCGGAGCTCGCGGATATGAGCGTCTTGTTTTCCTGGTAATTCCGTTTTTGTAAATTTCCCCGGCGAATCTCGTCGAGCGGAGACGCGACGAGGAAATTTCGTGGAAACGGTGGAATTGGAGGACCCAGAATGTCAGAATGAGGTAAATCCAGGAGCAAGAATCGCAGGATCCACTTTAAAATTGAAATATTAAGTACTCGTACAAGATGGTTTGACCTCGCGCTGAAGTTAGCTTCACGACGCGGTAACAATATCTCTCTTGCGGCATGATTAAGTTATCTGCGGAAGGACGGGTGGATCGAATAAGCATCCTTCATATCGCACTTCCGCTGCGACACCCGCGAAGACACGAAGAGCAACGACGCGCGTTCCCGAGCTTATGATTTACAGCTTCGTGCCAATTTGAACCCGTTTGCGTGGCTGTTAACTCGACCATAGGTCGGAAACATGAGATGACCTTATGTCTCTGCAACGTCGCTGGATCGAATTGCCCCCAGCAGCAGAAGCGAACTTTAATATACCTGATAATCGCGGGGTTATCAACTGAAGACTACATTTGCTGTGTGTGTGTGTGTGTGCGCGCGCGCGAATATTATGCGTAATTGCATTTCTCATATCACTACATTGCTCGGAGACAGAAACTTTTGATGAAATGAATATAATCTGCCGTACATTCAGTGGTAACGAAGTAGTAAAAGTCAATTTGCGTTAGACATTAACAGTTTGCTCGCTGTCACGAGCAATTTTATTTGAATATTCCCGATGTACACAGTACGCACGGTTTCTTGTTATACATTAAATTGCAAATATTATTATTTTATAAGTTTTATTGTCATCTGTGATTAACAATATATTCCCCTATTATCAAATATACGTTATTTAAATCGGATAGAGTGTTAAATATGCACAGTTCTCAATATCCGTGTTGATCGTAACAACTTTTCCATTATTGATTTAAATAAATCGGAAATATTGAAATAAATTAGTTCGTTCCATAAGTTGGTCTCATGCGTGCGTAAATTATTTTTAACGTCATGGAATATCCTCTAACACTCTGTATCCTTGAACAAGGCACGCGAAAGGATCTAAATATATTCGCTGCAGGATCTAACGGGTGCATATAATCGTTACACGAAATGAGGTAGAGGCCCCATGGAATCGTTTCCGCGAAAGTTACCCCTCAGTGGTTAATAGAGTATGTGTGGCAAAGTGCATACGAAAGAGGGAGGACCGGAAGGGAGGTATAATAAAATTATCAATATGTGGAAGCCTCTTATTCCAAGTACGTGCGCGAGAGCAGCGAGAGAGCAGGGTAACAAGAAATTCATTTCGTCACGGATCTAGTTATCCAAAACATCCAACGAAATTCAAGAGATTGTCAAGAGACGGCTCCGTAAAATTTATCGCGTTTCCATCGCGCCCCATCGCGAAATCTTACGATCTCTGGCTGAATCTATTTTCGAGTAATGCTCACAAATTTTGCAACCTTTCCCCGTTGTTGCTATTACCGATAATATTATTTCCTCTCGAGCTAAGAGCAGTCATTTTGTAGTTATCCCGATAAAATTGGGTCTTCATAACGGCGGTCCTCGACCTATTCCAACAGCCACAAGGTCGATTTGCGGGTCTGAAAGAAGAAATGGAAGTGAGGTTGTAAGATGAGTAAGGAAAGAGAGTGAGATAGAGAGGAGAAGGATGGAGGGAAAAGGAGGCAGCGTGACGATGTCGAATTGATCGCGAATAAAGGAGGGGCTTCGCCTCGTTTGAAGCTTTTGAAGCTTTTAGCTTCGTCGAGGCTCAGTCGCGATATTTTTTGAGAGAGCTTCGCCGGCTGACATTTATATGGTGTGGATTTAATAAATGATTGAGTTGAAACGGAGGCAGATGCGAAGGAATGTTTACTTAATCGAAATATCTTCGCGCAAACATGGTAAGGAAGTTCAATTTAACCTGGCACGCGATAAATCCCTTCGATTTAATTAACAGCGTCACATTTGTTTTGAATTATCCGCAAGAGAAGATTATTTACTCGGAATTAAATCGGCTTGTTCGCCTGTAGATTCTTCCAAATGTAACGTTTCGTACTTGACCGGGTGAGAGAATCTCGGGACACTTGATCCTTTGGGAAACTTAATTCCTAGCCGTTATTTCGGCAATGGAAAGGTTTAATTTTTTTCATGTTGATAACTGTGTTTATTCTTAAATATAGAAAACGTTAAATGATATCTTGACAGTTGAGCGCCGATAACAACAGAATGAGGATGTTATTTTATTTTTTGGAATGCCTAATTCTTTTTCCCGTAAATATTCAATTGTTCTTTAAGTTGTCAGGTCTCGTGATTAAATTAAAACTCCATAATTGGGTGAAAATTTGATTGTTTTAAGAAGATAATTATAAAGTTAGTCGACAAAAATCTATTTGCTGATAACGCATAAAATAAATTAATTTAAGAAAAGTATCACTTGGATAGAAATGATTCACAGATCGGGGATATTTGATTTACGGATCTCCCACGTCCTAATAGTACAATTCATTGGCGATAAATTGGTCCAATATTGCTTATATTGGCATTCATTGGACAAATGTACAATATAAAAACCAGCCAGACAATCGATGTTAATTGTTAACCTGACTTAACAGATTAATCTGTTATCGTGCTCTAGCAAATCCTGATATATTTCTGCTAGCAAATTACCAAAATTTCTAGCAGGTGCTGCGTGTTGCGGATCGGGCGAGCGGCTCACCGCTGCGTTCGTGTCGACCGAAGCCTGAAGACCGGGTTGCCGCGCGCCAGGCGACGCTTGCTCGACAGCGACAACGCGTACCTCTAAGTAACGACTCTCAATTACACCTCCACGATCACTGGCTTGAGAATTCCCTAAGTACTCTCTAAGGGAGAATTCACACTTTGACTAGAAATGCAGAAAAGCAGCAGTCAATCAGAACTCGCGCTGATAGTCGACAGTTTCTGCTTTATCTACTGCTTACAATCAGTGCGAGTTGATTGGCGTTCTAATTGGCTGCCGCTTTTCTGCTTTCTGCCTTTCTCTCAAGTTGTGAATTCCTCCTAACGTTCGGTAGTGTGAACTTGATACTATTGTCCGACGGACGTCCCCGCCTTTCTCAGGATTATTGAACGCCCTTAGCGCGTCGGTGAAGTGACCGTCACGTGTTTAACATCAGTTTGGTGATTAACGGCAACATCCCTGATGTTCTTCGATTACTCGCGGATCACTGATACGTTATAACCACGATTTGTGACACGATTCTTCGTACACCGGTACGAAAATGAAGACTGCTTTGCTTCCCACAGAGTGACTATGGCAGCAAACTCGTCGGTCTGGTATCCTGGGTGAACGGATGCGCCAGCACCAGCTATCTCGATGTCTACACGCGAATTGTATCTTTCCTCGACTGGAGAATAATTCTCTCTTTCGCTTGTGTATGTGTGTGTCTGCTCGTATATATCATAATGCCGTAATCCCGTGGAAATTACCCTCTAAAACCGACTAGTTTATAACCATTAGCGGAACCATACAAGTTTATGCGTCCGCTCGGATAGTTCAGCCTTGGGGAACGCGGTCTTCTTCATACGTACGGAGGTATCGCGTGCAGGTGTTATTTTGGTTGACCCGCAGTAAATAGCCATTTAGTTCGCAGTCGGGACGGCGAAGTCACCCGGGAATATTTAAACGTGATACGTTGGGACAGCTTCGAAAATCTCTCAGGTAACTGGAGCGGAAAGATATTCCGCGCGCCGGTCTGTAATACCGGCGAATTAACTTGTAAAAATTTCACAACGCGCGAACATCTCGTTACGACGGATCCGCAGGTCGAGACTGACGAAGTTATCTCGTACGAAAGAGCACCTCCGTTGGATTCCCGACGCTGTTAGGCGAGTCGACTCGCGAGAAAACTCCGTTTGAAGGCGGCGGCGGCGGCTCGTACGTTACTTAGTGATGATGCACCGTCGGAAATGAGCGACTACCAGGTCCTTTCACGCTCCGTGAGCGAATCATCGAAGAAGGGTAAAACAAAACCGGCGACGTACAGGAGCCTATCGCGCGCTTCTTGGAGGCACGGCGAAGGCGGAAATGAAATTTCATTAGCAATGTAAATACGGGCGGCAGAATGGAATTCGACACGAGCGATTCGCGTCCCCTCGTCGACCTGAAGAACGGTCCGAAATGCCGCTCCGCCTCGCTGCTTGCATCTCGCCTCGCTCCTCTTCGGAGGAGGCCTTTAACGCTCACTATTAGTTACTCCCGACAGAAATGTAATAAAGTTCGTCTATATTTCTACAGCATTTTTCCCCGATGAGGCGGCGGATGCGAGCGGAAACTTTTCCTCTCTCTCTCTCTCGTTCCCGATTGTTTTTTTGCCGTTCGTAAATCCCGGAGGCACGTATGCCCAGTTCCTCGGGGAACCGATACCCCTCTTCCTCCCCTTCTCTCCCCCCGGTTGACCCGTATATTCTACTATGTCGTATTAAAGTTTTGCGAATCGATAGAGGCGTTATCGGGGGAATAAATTTCAATGGCGTCATAATTAACGAAACGCGCACGTTAACGAACGGTGTTTTATCCAGGATCACGTTGCGTCGGATGGACGGTCCGCGATCATGACTGTCAATTACGGCTAAAATGTCCGTATCGATCGTTTCCGCTCTGCCAAGTGTCACCGGAAATGAGAGCAACACGTGAGCGCAGCGCGGTCACGGTGTATTGATTTCGCGGCAGGGCCGAGTCCTATCCAATCTCTTGTACTATCTGATCGTACTATACCAAAAGCCCTCTGGATCTGTTTCGTGATAGTGACGGACATCACTTGATACACTATGATTCCCCGCTGTGCCGCCTCTTTTTAACTAAATTAAATTCATCAGCGGCTCTTATTCTCTCTCTCTCTCTTTCTCTCCCTCTTTGCGCGCGGACGCGAATTCAGTTTCGCTAGAATGTAATTGCTATTATAATTGTGCATTTAATGTAATTTATATTCTTGTAACGCGTGTACGAGATGCGTTATTAAAATGGGCTTGGCGTTACTTAAAAAAAATGTGTTACCGTGGCAACGAGGGGAGAGGAAAGTGCTCGTTAGAAATAATTCGGTCTCGATCACGCGCGCTCTCTGAAATTCTGTAACAAGAATAGACAGTCTGATGCTCTCTCATCGTGAAATAAGATTCTCACGTTATCGATCCGTCGCCTAAGATAAGAAGTCGGGGATCCACGAATCTCAAGGCATCATCGGCTGGAAGCGGTACGGCCGGAGTGTTAGCTTGCGGCTCTTTCTATTGGAGCGCAATCGTCCAGAGACTCATTGATTATTCAAGCCGAGAGTAACCTGTAGTTTGTAAAACGGAAGTGAATAAGAGGAACGAACGATTTCTACGGAGGAACTTCACTTTACCTCCGTACGGACTTGAGATCATTAAGTGAGATGATCTGAAGCCGCTCTTCATTATTCGACTTTTTACGGTCGAGCGGAGCGTTGCTTTTCATTAGCGGAATTTTAACAATTCGACGATTAAATTCCGGTTAACTCGCAAGACGGAATTTGCGCGCAGATCCGATCTATAGCTTCTCCCGAATACCGTTGACTCACTCGGAGCAAATTACGATCAACTGAATTAATCTTCTCCTACGACGGTGATGACTGCATCTTTGAGTGCAGAGAGACTCGGGAAGTTCGGGTGTGGAATGTGCGATGTGCAGATCGATTACCGTTAAATAGTATTTATTATTATTATTTTATTATTATTATACGACGAAAAATGTACAAAATCGTTATGTCACACGGTGAATTTTGCGTACGACAATGTCACATCTTATCATAACGTCTCGTTCAGAAACCTTCGAAGCCGGAGATAAATAAGGCTGATTTAGACGGCGTTAGCGTTGATCCAGTCGAGGAAAGATACAACTCGCGTGTAGACAGTGGGGTAGTTGGTGCTGGCGCATCCGTACGCCCAGGATACCAGGCCGACGAGTTTGCCGCCAACGGTCAATGGGCCGCCAGAGTCACCCTGTGGGAAGCAAAGCGATCCTTAGATTTTGCGCCGGTGTGCGAAGAATCGCGTCACGTGGCGATGGATAACGTATCGATGACGAATTGCACTCTGCATATCTCATTTCACGCTTTCTCAGTGATCGTTCACGTCAATTCACATGCAAAATGTATCAAGGGAGGACTGCAACTCGCATCGCATCACCGTTGTGAAGGTAAATGAGGTTCGAAGGTCGTAGAAAACTTACGTTGCAGGATCCCTTTGAGGTAGTCGGGTCGTACGCGCAAACCTGCGTGGCGTGGACGTTGTATCCCATGGCATTGTATTTCCGTTTGCAAGAGTCCTGGTCGGCGATTTGGATGTTGACTCGTTGCAGTTTCTCGGTAGTCGGCCCGCTTTCCTACGATTTTATAACGACACACATTTAATTATTAATTAATAATTCCCGTTCTCTTAAATCTTCTCTCTCGCTCCCGCGCATAACGCGGTAATAAATGCAAAGTGATCGCGCGTAATTATCCATCGTGATCGATTCCGTGTAATTTCCACACGAAAGGGATGCAGATCAGGCCGCAAAAACTCACCCAGAGTCTGCCCCATCCGGAAACAACAGCTACGTCTTCGGCGTTCACAACGTGGCCCTTCGGTGGCAGAGGAATGTGGGAGATGTCCGCAGACGTGACAAATGGAGTTTTCACCTGAAATACAATCTCGATGTGAATATACTTTTCGCCGGAGGAAACGTTACGAAGCTCGGCGGATGCGATTTTCTCGCGCGCGAAAAGAAGAATTTAGGTGAGCATTCTCACCTTCAGCAGAGCGATGTCGTTCCTCCAAGAGTTACTGGGATTGTACTCCTTGTGGACGATGATCTGTTCAACTTCGTGCTTCGATTTCGGGTTGTTCAAATTGATGGTGCCAGCGATGACCTGTAGAGACCCAGGCTGTTTGCTGTAACATGAAAATGTTATCGTTTAAATTTGAACATCCATTTACATTACGGTGAGCTAATATCAATGATATGTAATATGCACAATGTGCATAACAGCAAAATGTCTATAGTGTGTTTTAATGTAATGTTATTTTAACAATATATTAGCCATATATAATTATGGTAAAAGAAATGTAAAACCTAGTAACTTATAACATACCCATCAACGCAGTGAGCCGCTGTGATGACATAGTTATCATTGAGAACCGATCCGCCACAGAAGTGGAAGTTGGAACCCTTGTTTTGCAGAGAAACCTATGGAGAAAATGCACTTTAGCGTATTGTTGTTAATGCGTTGCCTGAATTTTAGCGTAATTTTAATACCGCGAATAAATTTATCCTAATGGCGACAGAAGTTGACGGTTCATATCGTAGCTCTTTTTATTTAATTAACGAGTATATTCTTTACAGTCAACGTATATACCTGATACGGGATCTCGCCCGGTTTGGCATCCTCTCCATTTACGATCCTGGGATCGAGGAATGGCTGGATGACCTTGGCTGCAAAGCCAACGACGTTAATGTTATTATTAATATTATTATCACAAAACGAGGAATAAAATCCAATGAATTTGCCAACTAAGTGGAATTTGAAATCGTAATGAATCCATTCTTCACATGTATGCTTTAATAGTAAATTAATAGATTTTGCGTGCTAACACAGTCGTTTGACGAAATTTGCGGAATACAGTTTTTCCATTAATTTAGTCTGATTCGTATTTAATAATTGGATTTAAGATGTCGACCGACAGAAGCAAATCGAGTGATTTGTTCAGATAATACAATATGCCAAAATGAATTCTCTCTCACTAAGCTATCCCCAAGGGGACTGTATCAATTTGTATTCGTTTAAATGAACGCTTGTCAATATTAAATGAATGGTTATCGATTTGCTGGAGAAGGTAATCACTCACCTTGAGAAAGCGCGAGGAGGCTGAGAAGAGACAAGGCTGTCAACGCCATTATGCTTGTTGTGTTGCTGCAGTGTTGGGACTGCGAACTTATATACCTGTAAGCTAAATGCTTCCGTAAAAGGCAAGCCAATGATTGACGAGTTTTTTCGCTATAATTCCAGATTAGATAAATCGATAATGGTGAACTATATCAAGTATGTTGTCGTCAGAATTTGATAAGGAATGTTAAATTGAATCGATCGATCTATGATAAGAATGATACGTTGAGATTTTGTTTGAGATTTCTTATTCTTAGTCAATAGTGATATCATTGATTTCGGTTTCATTTGTATAGCCCTCTTATAAAAGTACTCGAACTAGTAATAATTACATTCAACGTATCACTAATTACATTACAATCATATTGTATTCTTTATCTTTTATAATTAAAGAATATTTCCACTTATATATGATTTTCTAAATAGGACGCATTTTTTGTATTCATGATTGAAGAAGTAATGAAATTAAATAAATATTAGTACAAACATTATATTATAGATTTCCAAATAAGCTATACACGGATCAAGAATAGGTTTAATCTGTAACAGATTTTCCTATCGATTTCTCAAGTACGTTATCTCTTTTATCATGTACGACATTATAGAAGCACGTCCTGTCCTGTCGAGTGTTAACTTTTGTTCATTAAACGATAAGCGACATTTGGGTTTTCCCGTATCTCTTAATCTCGTTGATGAGCCTTCAGTGTGTTCAAAGAATATTATATTCTCGGGATCGATATTATTAGCAACGTTGTCATTTTTGCACTTGGCGTAGTTTATCATTTAATTAAATGTATAAATTGGGATCGATACTTCATAACAATATTTGGAAATGTTATGAATTGTTATGTTTTGAATTGTATGGCAGCTGATATTTAATTCATATGTGTATAAATGTTTAACAACAAAATTTTTTTTTACATATTTTCTGTTGAAAACTATCAAAATATACATTGTAACCTTTGTTATCGCTTGAAAAGCATCACGCCGGATAATACATAAGTTAAAGAATTTCCGAATAATTTTAAATATTGTAGATTCACTTGAAATTCTTGCTTCATATAAGTTCCCGATGAACGTATGAATATTCGCATTGTCCCATCACGAAAGTGTGACATGATTAGGAAAGAGTTATTCGATGAATGATTCGATGTTATCCGACGAAATAATTATCTTGATATTATCTTTTACTTTACGCGATACGAGGAACTTAAATTGGGTCTTATTAAAAAATCGCACGTTTCCAATTTGGACGATAGCGTCTCTCGTCTCACGAGGAACTAAGTTTCAGCCATTCTAATAGTCTGTAATTTTTACATTTTTTATCACGGAATCCTGGCGAGTCGTTATGTAAAGAGAGAAAGAGAGAGAGAGAGGCGGGAAGGTAATCGATTGACGGTCCAGGAACGGCGGCAAGGAACTAATGTTTCAGGATTCACCTGAGACCGACGACCCCGTGCCCTGACCGCATAATCGGCCGTATAGATGATCAAAGGTTTACCTATCGAGATCAGCGATATTTTACGTGTGCATACTGTCTCATGATCGTGCTCATCTAGCTTATGCTAAATTTTGCCGAAGCGTGAAGGGTTCCAGAGACGTTTTCATAACTGGTGCGTGCAATCCTTTAATTTACTGACCAGTTTATAGTAAATTAAATAATAATAGTATAGTTCGTGAATTTTTTCAAACTACAGATAGTTTTTTGTTAGGTATAGTCATAGATGTAATAAATATAGACTGGACATGAAGCGCAAAAGTTAAAAGTTAGGTAGAAAGAGACGGAAGGCAATTGCCGAATCGATTTTTCTCTAACATTTTTTCTGTCGGAAGAAGGTGAGGGTACGCAGGTGTGAGTTAGAAAAAGAAAGAGATTTGGTAGTATCTTTTTCTATTTGAACTTCACTGTCGAAACATTGGACACGCTCAATCTATTTTTGGTATGTCTGTTGGTACAGTTCTAGTCAGGTGTGTTACGTGTCGCAACCAAAGTTGAAACCGTTACCTTGAAACTTTTATCTTAGAATTTTGCCTTCCGATAGTTCGTTCCGACTTGATGATCGCATCCAGATAGATATTATAAATATTTAACCCGACGAAGTTGTAAATTCCAAAGATAAATTTGTACTGTTACAGATTAAATCTATTATTGATCTGTGTGTAGCTTATTTATAAATTAACAACATAATCTTTGCACTAATATTTACTTAATTTAGTTACTTCAATCATATACAAAAAATACGTAACACAGAAAACTATTGTCCTATTTGGAAATGTTAGTTTTGAATTGTATGTTCATATCATATAGGTTGAAAAATCCTTTAATTATGAGAAGGTGAATGTAATTATTATTAATTCGAGTACTTTTATAAGACGGCTACAAAAATAAAATCAGAGTCAACGATATCACTATTAATTAAAATAAGAAACCTCAGATGAATTCAACGTCCCATTACGTTCTTATATCCAGTGGAAACTAGCTCATAACCACCCTTGATAAAAATAATTAAATTTCCTGCTGAAACTAAAAAAGATCTATACGTTTGACTGTTCAGTTTCCGTTCGTCGTTTCTGAGAGCAACATTTCCTACTAGTCTGAAAATAAAGCGCTCGTTACAGAATCCTGAGTTAACTTTTCTGTAAATCTCGAGAAACCTTTTATTGTCTACATTTAGTTTTACATCGTGACACACTCTCACATGAATTCGTAACAGATTTTCTAGAGTCACGAGTTAAATCACGCAAGTGCACATCCGATATTTAAATTTCATCGTTGTTCACGATACAATTTTGGCGCTTGATTTCTGTTCTTACGTCACGAGTATTTATACTATAAACTTTATATTTAATCACAACGTTATCTATTAGATTACAGTTATGCGTTTGTCAGACACTAGACAAATATTTTGACTGGACAAAAAGTATTCTAGATTATCTTTGAGACAACAATACATGTGTTTGGCAACATATATTTAAACTTGAAGTATATCAATGCGTATCGAAGGAATCTCTTAATTACACAATGTTTAGATAACAAATGTGTTATTCAGTTACGTCATCTCATCCGCTATAGTCTCGCTTTCTTTCAGATAATATTTTTAACAGTTATCAATAAAAGATATAGACAATCAAAATAAATATTCTCATTTCATGGTAATATAAACTGAACAGGTATGCTGGCCATATGATACAGAGTAAATATAATGAAAAGAGAAATACGAGATATGGAAGAAGAAAATTGTATTATCCCTTTCTTCTTTTAGACTTTGCATGTGTAAATCTTCATTTCGCGAATGCTCATGCGCAGAGGCACATTACGAACGTATCTCGTTTGCACGCGGGACGATTTATTTCCTTATGTCGGCGGAGTTTGCAGTCGCATGTATTATTCAAGAGCACCTCTTTCGGAATATCGGTTGTCGTGAGACCGCAGATGGAATAAAAGGGTCAAAGGTTGTTCGGGGGAACAACGAGCGTTTTCTGTGCGCGCGTTCGAGAGAATCCGAGAACACAGTTTTTTTTCCCGCGCGTAAAATCACCAAGATTTTCAAACAAAGCGTGGGCTCTCAAAGAATAAAGAGATTTACGAGAGTGAGAAGCAAAAAGAGAGAGAGAGAGAGGGGGGGGGGGGNCGCATTTTTCCGGCGCGTTATTATTATTTATGTTGGAAACCCGCTTACAACCCACTATAAAATTATAGGGGTGCGCGAATTAAAATATCATTAGAGACATCGTAATGGATTATATATTTTGCATTCAGCGTCTGAATACACATTTCGTATTTTCATCGAGATTAACACCGCGTGCGGTGTATATGATAAAACGTGCTTCCGAGAGATAGAACGATAAACATCGGCATAATGAACTTTGCATGTTTCACGTGAAAGAGATACGCTACAAAGAGCGACTGTTTATTTTAATATATTACTTCGCCGCGCGAATCCACGAGCGAGACGCAATTAAGGTCGCATTGGCGATCGCTGCTATAATTGTTGTAAATACGCTTATCAACTGTCAGAACGTCTCGTCTTACAGTCGTGGGAAAGATAGTGACTAATTGGACGTTATTTCGCAATTTTCTTAACAATTGCGCGGTTTATCAGGGTACGTTGAACTTTGACAATGCACTCTCGAGCGATCGACAGAAATGGGTTTAACGCGCGTCGTTCCACCGTCCCGCACTCTCGGGCTCGTCGTCGGGAAAATAGCGGCAGCGGCTGTGTTACGTTGCTACGCGCATGACCCGCCGCGATAAAAGAGCATCGATTGCCAGTTTGTGTAAGGTCTCTGATCCGTCTCGTGTCGATGCCACTAATTAATGCTCGGCGTCACGGTCGTAATTTTATTCCATGTTGGATTTTGATACGGCGCGCACTCTTTCTCTCCTCGCATTTCGTTCCATCCTCGACGAAACGAATCGCGCACCCGAGATCAAATTCCTTTCCTAAAGACGCAGAGGGACGACATTAAGTGACGATGGCGATCTTAAAAGTGGTGTTTTACGCCTTCGGAATCGCTCCTTCGTGACCACGTTTCTACTTTAATAGAGGAGAAGGTAGTATTACGGCTTTCCACTTATATTTTGTACAATAATTTTGTTGATAATCAATATTTTAAATTGAAAAATTAACGATTACATTCGTCAAAGTGTTGTCCAGCCGAGATTCTAGACTGGTTATGAAATATTTTTTATTTAGGACATTATTTATGAGAAATGTGGCGGCAGTGTAAAATAGATCGAAGAGAAATAGAGATGGTGATGTGACCCCTTCATTAAAATGGATTTAGAAAATTGGTTTTGTTTAAAAAATACAGTGTTTTGTTAGAAATTTACATATTTATTCAAAGTAAACTCTCTTAAAAGAAACAACAGTGAATATAATTGTGAACTTTTAATGTAGATACCGATTTGCTTGTCAGAAGATAGATATAAACTGTCGGAAGGGCAATTTCTACAAAACGAAAAGACTTTTAAACTTCATTTGTATTATTGACTTATCGAGTAACTACT